TGACAGTTTCCATAGTGATAAGAGAAAGGTAGAGATGGGGAGGAGTCTGCTTTAAAAATATATATAACTTTATTTTACTCATTGTTTTCCAAAATTATTTCACCATAGAATTCAGTTTTAAAATCACACTTAGTAACATACAAATGGGTGCTAGTATTCCCTGGGGAAAAAAAAAGTGTGTGGATATTTGGTCTGGGGCTTGCCCGAAAAAATAATTTTAAAGCTCATATTTAAGTGGAATGTTCTAATAAGTGTTACAAAACTCTTGTTCATGTAACAAAATTGATAGCTAATTGTGTACCTGATTTATGCCACACCCTGAATCAGCTTTCAGGTATCTCTGGCCTTAGATTGTAATTATCTGCCCATCTATTTATTTTGTTCTATTTAATCAAGAGGTTTAAATCACATCTCCCAGGAGGTAAATGTATCCTTTTCAGTTGCCTTTGAAAAGGTATTTTCCTTCTGCATGTGACTCCTCATCCCCCTTGGTATTACAAGAGACTGCTGTTCCTGTATTCATCTACTCTTTTGCTGATACCATAAACTGTTTTCTTTACAATCTCTGGGAAAGAATGTCCGCATTTAACCCAGTTGCACCTCTTAGCTGTCATCAGTGCATACCCATTTCCAGTCATCAAAATGCCTAGAATATTTCCATCTCCATTATTTGTTGTCACCTGCTCTCTACCCAACTTTCACCCTCTGACTTTTGTATAATTCCAGTGCAATTGACTACTTCAAGTCAAATATTATGATTACTGGGTTTTTTTTTCCCCCTTTCTCCTCTCTATTTCTAGGATGACTTAACTCCTTTAATTATCATCTTGACATATTTTCCAGTCTCAAGACCACTTTGTTTCCTTCCATGGTAGTTTTATAATCTCCTGGGTGTTTTTGACCTGGCTTTCAGATTCAGGAAGCTGAATTCCCCATCCTCCTTGAGGATTTTCAGTGTGAGAGAATAAATATGCTTGTGATCTTTCTCTCCTCTTGCTTCCTCACAAGATTTATCACTTGGCTCACTTTTTAACTTGCTATTTAATTCTCATATTTATTTGATTCTGATACACACATATACATTATGCTTGCTTTATTAGCCTTAAATTATAAGCTAAGGTGAGATGGAAACTATCTCTACTGAAATGAATCTCACCAGTATTCAGCACAGTATTACATTTGTTTGTGATTTGACCCTTTTCCTGTAACAAAAATTAGTATTTGTTTAGTGCCAAAGTAATTGTGGTTTTTACCATTACTTTTAATAAATGGTACCCTTTTCTGGAGAAGACTCACAGTACACCTTACTCTGTCTGATTCCTAGGAAAACAAGCACCTCAGTATCAGCCAGGGGTACACTGAATTTCCCTGAGACTTGAGTTTTCCCACTGCTCACTCTTCTCATTTCCCACACTTGGTTGTATCTCTCTTTTTCTGCTTATCATTATGTCCCTGCTATCTCAGTTTTCCGCTTATGCGAAATGTTACAGTCATCTAGCAAGAATGTCTTAGGGTCAGCTGTGAGTGAAGCAAAACAGTAGTAAAGGATAAGAGAATATCAAAAGCCATGACATAGTCCATGTTCTTTACCCCACCTGTCCCTATAAAATTATGATGGACTTGGGAATATAAAGTGTGCCCTCAAAACAGTTGAGAAGAATGCAATACTCTCAGGAGTTTGTTTCATATTCCAAGAAGGGAAAGATCAATATGGGCTACTTTGGCAACTAGGTAAGAGAAGTTTTGCAGAGAGAGTGGAGCTTGAATTAAATCTGACAGGATGGGTTGACTTCAGCTTAGTAGGAGGGACAAGGGAGAGCATTTGGGAGGAGTGGAGTTCATCCTGGGGAGTCCTGAAGATGAGTATGAATGAAGAATTTAGCTTTGGACTATTGAGGGACTGAAGATCAAGGGAAGAAAACTGGACTTTAATATATGGCCCTAGAATTTCAAGGAGTAGCTTGAAGTTTATTTTTTAAAAATTAAAATAAAAATGTATCTTTTAAAGTATATTTCAATGTCATTGATACAGGCAATGAAGAGCTGTTGGAGGTGTTTGAATAAGTAAGTGATGATAGGGTGAAAGCAGAGTTTCAGGACAGTTAGTCTGCCAGGAATGTGCAGAAGGATTTGAGGAGAGTGGTAATGAAGGGAGGGAGATCAGCAGCAAAGATATTGACCATTGCTATGGTCCAAGTTTAAGGCAATGATGTCTGGCCTGAGCTAAGGTAATGAGGTAGGAGGTGAGTCTTGACTCTGGAGTCGGACTCTGACACCAGACCAAATTTAGGACTAGCTAAAACAGGGAGGAGGCAGAAGATGCTTTCCAGAAACAAGCCCACCATGTTAGTTTACCATTGCCATGGCAACAACCAAGGATCACTAATCAAAAGCTTTAGGGTCACTGAAGAAAAGAATTTTAAATTTATGCAGAGGGTAATAAAAGTGTTCATCACATTTCATTATAAATTAAGAAAATATCCTGAATTGGAGTCATGGATGTGTCTTTATCCACTTTGTTATTTTTGTATAATTAGTTAGCGGTTGTTCCCAAAGGGTCTTCTGGTCATCTTTATTCCAAATGTAATGGCTCTCTCAGAATAGAGTGTAAAGGATATTGGGTGAAAGATAAATTCACAGAACAAGGCTAACCTGGACATGAATTGAGCAGAGTGCATGTTCCATCAGCTGATGATGTGACCTCATCTTACAATTACATATGTTCTCTCGCTATTTCTTATTTATCTTATACCTAACTAAGCAACTTTAAGAGAAGATTCATATGTTCTATTTTTTTTACTGTATTTATGTATTTGTGTGTTTGTTTCATCGTATACTATAACATATCTCAATTAACTAGCTAGTTCATCAAATTCATTGAATAGCCATGAAATGGCAGTGGTGTTCCGCAGAAGCTAGCAGGGTAAGGTGACTAAAGAATGGAGGATTTTAGAGAGATGCCTTTTTACTGAGAGGAAATTGGGAGATTGAAAGAGCCCTGGGATAAGGGATATACAGCTCAGACTAGACCCCCTTCTACCACTTCACTATGGGGATTGAGTGCTTCCAACTCAGTTTCTTGACTTATGAAACATGATCATATTTTTGTTATTATAATTTAAATAATTAGAGAAGAAAGTTTTAAAAAGAGCATTAAATATATAGCATAGTATTCTTATTAAAGCATAAGGGTGTAATTGCTCCAGGATATCCATTGTACTCTAGAAGGTAACTCAAAGATGATAAAAATTGTTTTAAATTTGGGCTTCTCTAATTTGTTTCTAGAAACACCAGAATATGCCTTTAGTTTCCAAAAATACCTAGTGTGAAAATGTATGTATAAATCAGACATGAAATTAAGCCTAAAGCTTTCTGACATCAGTGATATCAGCAGAGGAGGCTGGAAATCAGTTACTGAGCCTTCATGCTACTTAAGAATAAGGTTAGACTCAGAATTAGGATTTTCTTTAAAGCCAGTAACAGAGGAAACTTCACCAACAGGCAAAGTAGGCAAGCCTTAGAAAAAAGGCAGGCTTGTTGCAAATAACCTCCCCTACCCAAGTAATGAGCACCTGGAATTCCGGAATTAAAGAGACATTCCTTCTGGTGAAGAATTGTCTGAGTCTGGAATTTTGAGATAGAATGATTAAGGAAAAAGTCATCTTCAGTCACAATTTTTAATACAGATTAGTTTATCGGTTCATATCAACCTTTAAAAGCGGCTGTGGAGAAAAGGTAGGGGAAATAGCCATTTCTGGGGCCAGGAGGCAGGTGGGAAGAGGAAGTATATGAAGCAAGGGAAATCGAATCTGGGGGCACTTTTCCTTCTGTATCATTTCACTTCATGGGCATTCTGCAGTTACCTGCCTGCATGATCCAATCGGTGGACTAAAGGGAATGAAAGGAAGAAGCCAGTAGGAAAAGGAAGACAGAACAAGAAAAGAAGGTGGCGCTGGGAACGGCTGATTTGGGAGAAATGAAGCTGCCTCTAGGCTAAACACAGCACATCGCTCAAGTGTGTAACCCTGCCAGCTGCATCCCCTGCTCATTCCTCCACCGGCATGGTGGCCAGTTCTCTCCTCACAGCCCTGGCCATGGCTCACTGCCTTTCTTTCCGTTCTTAGGGTAGATCTATCCCTTTCCCAACCCAGGCTTCTTCACATACAGTTTTCTCTGTATAGAAGCTCTGCCCTCCTAGCACCTATTCTTGCAGTCTCAGCTTCTGAGAGGCCTTCCCTGAGCCCCCATTTTCAATCTGGCCTCTAGATTATATTTGCTGATTAAGGATTTTCCCATACAGTCCTTTCCACAGTTCGTAATTGTTCATATTTGAATGATCATGTGTTTAATATTTCTGTCCCTTTAGCTAAGAGAAACTCCATGAAGTCAGAGACCATATCAGCTTCATATTCTACCCACCAAGGCCTACCAGAGTCATTCTGTAAAATCTGTTGAATTAGATAAACCAATCATTTGAGAAGTTTAGTAACAGCACTTTTACTTTGTTCTTTAGACTATGAATAGTCACAGAATGGCTATGCCTGTTGCTGTCAAAATAGAAGGATTTGTGTACTGATAGGTTTGCAAACTCATCTGAAACACTAAAATGTATTATATCTGGCCGGGCGCGGTGGCTCAAGCCTGTAATCCCAGCACTTTGGGAGGCCGAGGTGGGTGGATCACGAGGTCAAGTTATCGAGACCATCCTGGTCAACATGGTGAAACCCCGTCTCTACTAAAGATACAAAAAATTAGCTGGGCATGGTGGCGCGTGCCTGTAGTCCCAGCTACTCAGGAGGCTGGGGCAGGAGAATTGCCTGAACCCAGGAGGCGGAGGTTGCGGTGAGCCGAGATCGCGCCATTGCACTCCAGCCTGGGTAACAAGAGCGAAACTCCGTCTCAAAAAAAAAAGTATTATATCTGATTCACATGCTGAAACTGAAGAAATCTGAACAGGAAATTTGGATTGATGTACAACTCACAGTGGCTTGGTATTTCAGGTTGGAATTGTGCAGTATGGAGAAAACGTGACCCATGAGTTCAATCTCAATAAGTATTCTTCAACGGAGGAGGTACTTGTTGCCGCAAAGAAAATAGTCCAGAGAGGTGGCCGCCAGACTATGACAGCTCTTGGAATAGACACAGCAAGGTATATGGATAAAAAAATAAACTAAAGTAAAAGGCTGCAAAAATAACTCCATGATTTAGCCCTTTGGGGTATCAACTGAAAGTTAGTGTGACAATATTTAAAGCCATCTGGTTTAAAATGAGATTCAGAAGATTGGATAATGGTTACAAGATCGCTGTTTCTATAATACAATCTGACAATCCTTCTTATCTTTCCTTTATTACAAGGGTTTAATTGATAGATGATCCATTTTAAAATATCACTGTGTCGATAACATCATGTTCTTGGGTAGTAAGACTTAATATTAGTTAATATTTGTTTCATTTATTTTTTATTTTCAGCCTCTAAGAGACTCAATCTAAAATGATGGATTACAAATTAGTTCTGTCTCTACCCAATATGCATTTATATTCTAGAATGTCCATGTATTTTCAGTACTTGATTTACAGTAATTCAAACTACCAGATAAGAGATTTTTAAGGGGCCAAATTAAATATTGTCTATTTGAAATAATTTTTAGTGCAAAGATTGAAAGAAATTGAAAGGATCTTATCATATGTTTTGCTCTGTTTCTCCTTTTTTACTTTCTTAAGATTCCCTCCAATTTATAATTCCTCCTTTCTTCCATCTGCAGTTTTCTTTATGGAGAACACAGAACTCAGTCTGTGGTTGAATTTCATTTTATAAGAACCCCACGTTATTTCCTGTATGTTTGCTTATCTCATTTTTTAAACTAGCAAACTTCTGAACAAATACAAAACAATACCAAAATCACAGGAAATGTAGTAAGTAGTTTGACTAATGTTAAGAATTCTTCTGTTAAATGTCTTCAACTACTAAACTCTGGTCTGATGTGGAAAGCTAATCATCCATGCTCTCACTTTATCTGCCTGCTAAGATGCGTGTTTTAAGGAGGTTAAAAGAGTTAATGATGATCCTGCAAAGAATGGGTTGGATAGTCAAAATTTTTTAATTTCATGTGTAGCTTTTGCCTCATGAATGTTAGAAAATCAAGCAGCTCTAGTTATATGGGGCCCAAGAGAAAATAATCACAAATAGATGGAGGTAATTTGACATTTACCTACCCAAAGGATCACCAATTTTCATGCACAAAGAGTGCACATGTTTAGGTGTACTGAATGTACCCTCCTCGATAATTAGCTAAATGTGACTGTATGTTCAAAGTAAGCGAGTTCTTTGAAATCTGTGATCCTGTAGGGAACTGTGCATTTTCCAAAGGCAACTACTTGAGAATGAATATTTATCTTTGAAGACTAAATGAAGAAATATTCTGATTGCTTTAAATACCATGTCTCTATATGTTTTCTGCCTCTGCATTTCACAAAGGGTATAGCTGTGGGACACAGAGAGTTTATTGAATTTTGATTATATATTAAAAGTCCATAGTGATAGTACAAGTATTTTCCCCCTACATTAATTAGTTTTTCATGTTTAAGCACATTTTAATTGTTTTTTATTCCTTTCAGGCAGAGCCAGTTGCAAACAATATTTTTAAATTTTTTAGAATTCTTTACCTTCATTTTCAGTAACTCCCAGTTCAAATTATTATTTTGTGTTCCCTTCTCCTTATCCCAAATTTTTACTTTTATCAATAAACTTAAAGTATTTAATCATAAGGCCTGGATTCTCCTGTCTCAAAGAAAGGGACACTCTTGGTATATTTAAATTTTTTAAAGCATGCAGGAAAGTCAAGGCTTAGTTCCAAGAAAGGGCATTGGATACTGGTACTTTAAGGACAAGGACAATTTGTAACCGAATGTAGTTGAAACAGAAAAGGAGTTCTGCCAATACTCTTCCATTACATAAAGCCAGCTCTGATTTCAGAACAGCCACATTTGATTTATGAAAGGTCTTTTAATCCTCTCCTTCAGCTGATATTCATTCAGTTCAGTTGTAATTTTGATATTTAAGATAATTAGGAAGTTTTAGTGATCTAAGGAATTTGAATTTCAAAAATGATTGAATTTCATGTGATATTCATATACAAAGATCTGCTAAAGACTAACCTGTAACATCTGTTTTCATCTTTGTTTGTATACATTAAAAAGTCAGAAAATCTACTTGTATAATATGTTAAAAAGTTATTCATGGTATTTGTTAAAGATTGTAAGGAAGACATCACTGAAGAGGAAACTTTACATTGAAGGTATTGCAGTAGAGAAGAGAGATTAGACTCAGCACTGACTACAACAAGGATGAGTGGGGATTTATAGTCAAGGAACAGGGCAGGGATCAGAGAAAACATCAAGGCTAGAGGGATTCTTGCTAGACTGACTCAACAGGATTCTTGCTGAAGGTAGATAAGTAGTAGGAAAAATGAAACTGTTTTTCTCTTTCTATACTCTGAACACTTGACACGTCATGTCTGATGCCAGATGTGTGGGATTTTTCCCACATTTACCACTTATTTGACTCCAGCTGGGTATTATATAATTCACTTCAATTCCAACACCAACTAGAGTTTGTTCAGACCTCTCCCAAGTTAAGGGCCTAGTCCTTCAAAAATTCCCTCCAGTTTAGAGCCAGTAGGTTTCCGAGTTACCCACAATATGTCCAACGTGGCTACAGACTAGATCCCCTACTTGGGTTTGATTATATGCTACAGTGGATCACAGAACTCAGTAAAGCATCTTACTTACTATTATTAATTTATTATAAAAAGAATACAACTCAAGAACAGCAAGAGATACATAGTGCAAACTATGAGGAAAAGGGGTCAGAGTGATCATTGCCTCTCATGGTGTACCTCCTTCCACATGTTCAGCAACCTGGAAACTCTGAACCCCATAGTTTAGAAATTTGTACAGAAGCTTGATCACAGGCATGATTGATTATTAACTGAGTCTCTAGCCCCTCACCCCTTCCTGGAGAATGAGAGCTGGGGGTGAACGCTTCAGGCTTCTGATCATGGCTTGGTCCCTCTGGTGACCAGCTCCCACTTAGGAGCCCACCAAGAGTTACTTCATTACTACAAAAGATACTCGTATCATCCGGGAAATTGCAACAGATTAGGACTTCTATGGCAGAAACACAGGTTAAAGACCATATATTAGAACAAAAGATGCACCTAGCACCACTATGGCTTGGGAAATTACAAGAGTATTAGGAGTTCTGCACCAGAAACTGGAGGCAGAGACCAAATGTATATTTATTATTTGTTAAAAGAAAAATTTTAGACAAATTAAATTTAACAGAGTTTATTTGAGCAAAGAATGATTAATGAATCAGGCAGCACTCAGAATCAGAAGAGGTTCAGAAAGATCCACTTTAGCAGGGTGAGCAATGGGCTCTTATGGGCTGAAAGCAAAATCAAAGTAAAGAAATAACTTGATTGGCTATAACTAGGCATTTGCCTTATTTGGGTATGATCTGGTGGAAAGTCTGAAGTTAGAGGTTACTTGGAAGTTTCTGATTGGTAGAGTCTCTAGATACAAGTTGGTTGGCAGCTTCTAAATGGTAATGTTTAAGTTTGTTTTACTGTTTACATTGAATCAGATTTTGGTTTGCTTACATAGGAACATAAGGCCCTGGAGCTGTCTCAGCCTAATGGCCTATAAATTAAATTCTTTTAAAAGATAATATCACAGACCAGGATAATAAGATTTAGAGGGTGGGAAATGAGGAATCTGAGCAGATACCAAAGACGGGGGATTTCCACTAAATTTACTAAGCCAGATTCTTGCTAAAACTAGACTGCATGGGTGAAGAACATAGGCCAAGGCCAGAGCCAAGTCTAGAAGAAGACATAAAGGAGCCTGACTCAGTTTTGGTCAAGGAGAGTCTTTGTCAAGCGTAGAGGGCAGAGAGACATAGTTACTCAAATTTTTTTTTAAAAAAGGCATTTTTCTTTCTTTTGAGAAATGTAAGAAAAATAGAAAGTAAAAAATTAGTACTACTAAATTATGTGTATCTACCACACAGGACTGACAGTTGTCAACATCTTGTCATATTTGCTTTAAGTCCTTTGAAAGAAAAAATAATCATATAGAATTCTTTTGCCCACATCACCAGATTCCTCTCTTCCTGCTTTAAGATATCAATTATTGTATATTTACTGTGTATCTATTGTGCAAACCCTTCGGAATGTTAGCTTAAGGCAGGTGTTTCATTGGCATATCTGTCCCAAATGGCAGCTGTTTGTCTGTATAACCAACTATCTAAACAGACCATCCAGTATAATGATTACTGTACTTTGTACCAAAATCCTAGAAATATATAAAGTCCTTTCATTACTTTAGTCCTGAACAAAATATACTCATGTCTTTTAAGACTCCAGAAAGAAAAGATTTGAGTAAAAGGAAATGAAGGGGGAGGGGTAAGTCTGTGTATATGTTTATATAGAATACATAAAAAACAAAAATTTTCCATTTCCTTGTCTTCTGTTTCTTTCCATAAATGCTGTTTAATTAAATTAAAATTCCTTTTTTTTTTTTTTTTGCTGTTGGGTTATAGCATCTTCCCTTTTTATCCACGCCATCTTCTCCCACCCTACTCTCAGCACTCTGTGTCCTAACACATAGTTCAGACCCAATGTTTTGTAACTCCTCCAACCACTTCTGTCACCTAAAACCCAACTGACTACTCCATGGACTCAGAACATCACCATCTACCATCTTTTACTCCCATGTAAAAGACGGCAGATGTCCCTAACCCCAGAACACTCCCAAGCACTCACAGCCCCACTAAATCTCTGTTCTCTCTCATCTCTCCTCAAATTAGAGGATTTCCAAGCCACTCTACAAATGTCAGGGTAGTGGCGGGGGAAACAAAGTCTCGAGCAAAAGTTTCTGCTAGAAGCAAAAGAAAAGAGGCCTGTCAAATAAGAGAAGGGAGATGTTTATAGAGAAAGGAGCAGCTGGCAGAGTGTTTATAGATCTGGCCTTCTCTGAATCTAATGTATGCCTCAGTCACACCCTCCCTTTGAAGTTTCCAAAGAATAAAATACTACAGCCTTTTTATATATGGAATGTGTGGTGATTAGCAAAATGGTGGCCTCTCCATCATCTGAAATAAATCTAGAGCTATTAAAAATAAGGCTCATCATGCCTCCCAGCTTGAATGATGGGCATTGATGCTAATTTTAAAGAGAAGCACCAGGCTACCTAGGGCAGTCAGTGTTTTTGTTTCATTTCTTACTTTGTCTACCATAAAGTGGTGTCTCATCAACATTTCTTTTGTTTGTGATGACTTCAGAAAGGAGGCATTTACTGAAGCCCGGGGTGCCCGAAGAGGGGTTAAAAAAGTCATGGTCATTGTGACGGATGGAGAGTCCCATGACAATCATCGACTGAAAAAGGTCATCCAAGACTGTGAAGATGAAAACATTCAACGATTTTCCATAGCTGTAAGTACATTGCTAGAAATGTTTTCAAACCCTTGGGTGTAGAGAAGAGCTCTGTGTATATTGGGGTAATTTTATGAAAGTCATGGTCAGGCGTGGTGGGTCACGCCTGTAATCCCAACATTTTGGGAGGCCAAGGCTGGTGGATCATGAGGTCAAGAGGTCAAGACCATCCTGGCCAACATGGTGAAACCCTATCTCTACTAAAAATACAAAAATTAGCCGGGCATGGTTGTGCACACCTGTAACCTCAGATACTTGGGAGGCTGAGGCAGGAGAATCAGTTGAACCAAGGAAGTGGAGGTTGCAGTGAGCCAGGATCTGCCATTGTACTCCAGCCTGGGACAGAGTAAGTAAGACTCCCTCTCAACAAGAAAGAAAAGGAAAGAAGGAAGGAAGGGAGAGTGGGAGAGAAGGAAAGAAAAAAGAAAGAGAAAGAAAGAAAGAAAAAAAGAAAGTAACACAAACTAGGTTGGCAAAGAGAAAGGTCTCCATTTGAAGATAAGTCCTGTGAGGACAGACTTGGACTATGCCCCTCTATGTCCTTAGTACCCAGCACAATGCCAGGGCAAACAGACACTCAACAAATAATCATTGAAACAAAGGAAGGAAGAAAATAAGGAAAGATGAAAAGAGGAAGAAGGAAGCAAAACATGAGGAAGGAAGGGTGAGAAAAAGAGAACTGAAAAAAAAGAGAAAATGAGGAGGAGGAAAGGAAGGGAAGAGGATGGGAAGGGGAAAAGAATTCTTTTGCCTTTTTAAATAACAGAGAGGATTTGTTTGATATAACAACAGCAGTGGCCATTGGGCTTCTCTTCTTCATCTGAGCAATTTTTGACTATCTTTTCCATTAATTCTCCTCCCTCATCACTTAGCTAAAGTGGGAAAAAGTGCCAGTTGTCTCTGGTTAAATATTAACAACTTCTGATGTTTGACACTTGCTTTTCAGCGAAGTAGACAGAAATTGAATTTATGTTTTCTGATGCAATTTCTAAGCTCCTGGTATAGACCTTTCTATTACCTAACTTTAGAACTTGTTCTAGCAGAGAACAAGTTCTAAAAATCAAAAAGTTACCCAAATGGTATGCCAATTACTTCAGAGCCAGCTCTAGTTTTCTTTAGCAGTGTGCTTCTTCAAAGCAGCTTGAAGTTCTTCCCAGACATTAGTGTATTACTCCTGTAACCTTGTTACTCCTGTAACTTCATGGAACAGCAGATGAGGGAGCTGAGAAAGAGGCAAGGGCACCTGGTGACTTGGGGGGGGGCGGGGGTCTCAGATCGCAGGGGCAGAGTTGGCTTAAAGTCCTCTGATGAGACATGTGGTACTTCCTCTGGGATAGGCACTGATATTCCCCAGGGAAACGGATGAGGGCCTTACTCAAGCAAAAGGAAAGAATGGAGAATAAATCCACCCCTGCCTTCTCTCTAGTAAGGAGCATTCAAAAGCCATTGCACTGCCTGCAAGACTCACTTTCTCACATTGACATTGAGTGTACATTTTAGTATTTCAGTCGTTGTTCTAAAACACTATCTATCTTTTTCCTTTTCTTTATTTTTTTAGAAACAGAGACTAGCTCTGTCACCCAGCCTGGAGTAAGTAGTGCCATCTTGGCTCACTGCAATCTCTACCTCCTGGGATCAAGCAATTCTCCTGCCTCAGCCTCCAGAGTAGTTGGGACTACAGGTGCATGCCACTATGCTTGGCTAACTTTTTACATTTTTAGTAGAATTGGGTTTTCACCATATTGGTCAGGCTTGTCTTGAACTCCGACCTCAGGTGATCTACCCGCCTTGACCTCCCAAAGTGCTGGGATTACAAGTGTCAGCGACCACACCCAGACCGCTATCCATTTAATAATACAAATAAACAAGTCTTTTGTAGATCATAAACAGCAGTACTTCAAACAGTAATTTTAGTTCTTTTCTAACTTTCTATAAGTGAGAAATCTGTATCCTTCTTAATCAAAATATCAGTTTTTTAATCTACCATTCTAAATCTAACTTTAAAAAAATACATGTAAATGTGCAGTGGGGCGACTTGAGTGGGTAGGGGGAGCTTCAGATCCGGAGGAGACAGGCGTAGGCAGCCCTCAGGCCCATTGCCCTTGGTCCATTATACTCCCAGGCCACATCACAGTACTGTGGTCAGAAGGGTATTAGAGGTCTGTTTTGCAACAGGACTTCGAAGGCACCACCACGGAACTCTCCATTTTTAATGATGCCAGACAAGGCTATTATTGGAAAAAGAAATGTGAAACTAGAAAATTCTTGTACCTTCATGGTTACTGGAGGCCAGGACTCTCCTCCTTCTCAGAGGATTTGGATATTCTTAAAAAAAAAAGAAAAAGAAAATCAAGCAATAGCAAAGGGCTCAGTGTCTTTCCTTCATTTTTTGGACTCCAGAAGCATAGGCTTGAATTAATTAATCATGATCCTTGCTTAGGTCAGGCCATGTTGTAATCGTTTGTTGAAGTGTGACCCACTTTATTTGTTTCTTTATTTGGAACTATATCTTTGTATTTATTTCAATAATATTATAAGCATCCATGGACCTACCACCCAAATCGAGAGCTAGTTCTCTTTTTAGATAAATACATCTGCGCCCATTTACCACCAGCTTTCCTCCACCTGGGTAGCCATCAGCCCACATTCTACATTCCTCAATCCTTGCTCTGCTTTTCGAAATAATATTTAGGCACTCATACATATCTGAAAAAAATAATTTTAAGACTATTTAATTGTTTCTTAATGTTAATAAAGGGTGTAATGCTGTATGTAATATTCTGGAACTTTTAAAACTTAATACCATGTTAAGATTCATCCATATTGTTGCATATCTATATAGTTCATTCTGTTTTTAAAAACTAAGATGATATTTGCAATACAGTGAAATTCAAGGTTTCAGTGTGAAAAATGTGCACAAAGTGAACGATTTGGTGAGTTTTGACAATTGTGTGGACCCACGAGACTTCCATCACTCCCAAAAAGTTTCCTAGGCTTATTGTTTTCAATTTATTTTTACTTTTTATGGATACATGATAGCTGTACATATTTAGCTGGTACATGTGATATTTTGATACAGGCATCAATGGGTAATAATCAAATCCGGGCAATTGGAATATACATCACATCAGACACTTACCATCTCTTTGTGTTTGGAATATTCCAAATCTTCTTCTCTGGCTATTTTGAAATATACAATATTGTTTACTATAGTTGCCCTATAGTGCTACTGAACACTAGTTCTTATTCCTTCTATCTAATTGTAGTTTTATACCCATTAACTAACACCTCTTCATCCCTGCTCCTCCCCACTACTCTTTCCAGCCTTTGGTAACCACCATTCTCTTCACTACCTCCATGAGATCTATGTTTTCAGCTCCCACATTTGAGTGAGAACGTAGTGATATTTGCCTTTTAGTGCTTGGCTTATTTCACTTAATATAACATTCTTCAGTCTCATCCATGCTGCTTCAAATGACAAAATTTCATTTTTTTCTATGGATAAATAATATTCTGTTCTGAATATATAACATGTTTTTTTAAATCCATTCATCCATTGATGCATACTTAAGGTTAATTCTATATCTTGTCTATTGTAAACAGTGCTACAATAGACATGGGAGTACAGATATTTCTTCAATATACTGATTTTCTTTCTTTGGGATATATAACCAGCAATGGGTTTTTTTTTTCACTTTTAATACATATCTCCTATAGCAACCACTATAACCACCACCATATGCTACCACAGCTCACTTAGATTGCCAGCTCTTGAATTCCAAATAAATAAAATTGTATAGATGTACTGTGTGTTTAGCTTTTCACTCAACATAATTATTGTTTGTGATATTTTGTGTACTGAGGGTTCAATTTTTGTTATTATCTATTTTGTAGACCACAATTTGTACTCTACATTTTGCTTCTGTCCAGTCTGAGTTATTGTTATAAAGGTATCATGAACACTAAAAAAAAAATAGTAAAAACCAAAGTGATTATCTTCAGGTAACGCTTGTAACTACAAGGGTAGAAATATGGAAACACCTGTGTCCTAATATACAGAAATAAAAATAAATTATGGTACACATTATTACATTATTTCACATTTTTTCATGCCCATGTAGTTATATGATTTAAAAAATGGAATTAGTTCATATCTACATATTGGGGATTTTTTAACTTTTTTGCATTTTAAATTTTGCATTTAAAATTTTACGTATTGTTTTTTAAATGCTTTTATTGTCTTGAACAGTTTTATATTAAAAAGTAAGTTTTAGGGTCATAAGAAATTTTTATGTTAAAAACTAACTTTTTAGGCAGAAAAAATATAAACCTTAAAAAAAGCTAATTAGTTGGACTTCATCAAAAATTAAAACTTCTACTCCTCAGATGACACTGTTGAGAATATGAAAATGCAGCCCCCAAGCAGGAAAAAAACATCTGCAAAACACATAAAGGACTTGTATCCAGAATATATACAGAACTCTTACAACACAATGAGGGGAAAATAAACATCTCATTTTCTTGTAATGGGCAAAAGATTTGAACAGACACTAACTACACCAAAGAAGAAATACTATAGCAAATAAGTGTATGAAAGAGTCTTAACATCATTAGTCATTAGAGAAATGCAAATTAAATAAGACACTACTATACACCAACACAATTGCTAAAACTAACAAGTGAACAAAGAAAAAAACTGACAATAAGAAGTATTGACAAGCATGCAAAGCAGTTGGATCTCTTATATATTTCTGATGGGAATAGTAAAATGGTAAAATGAGACAATTACTGTGGAAAGCAGCTTGGCAGTTTCTTATAACGTTAATCATTCGCTTATTACATGACCCAGCACTTTCACTCCTAGTTGTTTACTCAAGAGAAAAGAAAATATATGTTTATTACAAAGACCTATGTGTAAATATTTATAGCAGCTTTATTCATAATATCTTGAAACTGAAAATAACCCAAATGTTCTCCATCAATAAATTGTGGTGGATTCATACAGTGGAATCCCACTCTGCAGTAGAAAGTACCCAACTACTGCTACATGCAGCAACATGGAAGACTCTCGAAAGCATTGTGCAAAGTCACAGAAGCCAGACGCAAATGGCTACATACCATATGATTCCTTAAATCTGACGTTCTGGAAAAATCAAAGCTATCGGGACAGAAAATTGACCGGTGGTTGCCAGGGGTGGAGGAAGGGAGGAAGGGATTGTCTATAAAAGGCAGGAGAGAACTTTTTGGGGTGATAGAAATATTCTACACCTTGACGTGGCAGTAACACAACAATATTGGTTTGTCAAACTCATAGAATTGTATGTCTAAAAAGGGTAAATTTTACTGTATATAATGTATCTCAGTAAACCTTACCTAAAAAAAAATAAACTAAATGTTTGAGAAAATCTGCTTGGACATCTAAACAATTATAGTTAACTATCTTATATAACTCTTGCCTCTCTCTCCTCTCCATAAAAAAGAATGCCCCTGTCTGCAGCATTTGGTTTCAAACAAGAATATCTCAATTGTTTATTTTCTAGATTGCCAACTTAGATTACTACTTAGTCTGGTATGTGTTTAAAATATATATGTGCTGGACTGTGCCTTGGTAAGAGTTTCAGGAAGAATTACTCATTCAAAAGCAGGCAACTCACTTGCTGGTTGCCTTTGCCAGCAGATAATGACATCACTAGCTGGAATAATATCAAAGACATTCAGAAACTATGAATATAACATTACTTTTGAACTGTCAGATTTTAAAACTACAGCTGTTAGTAACAGAGACACAGAGTACAAGAGAAGAAATTTTCGCACACATACAAAATTACCCTTTATATTTTTCTACACCAATTGCAGTGTTTATGTAACAGCTAATATTAGGGAGTCTACAAATTTTGAAAATCACTCTTCCATAAATGTGAAAATACATAAAAATTCCATTATGCTAAGGTACTCTACACTGTTGTTTACTGACAAAATGCTTGAGATCCTTTATTTAACACACAGAATTTAAAATATATTCTTGCTGTTTCTGTTGTGTCTTAGATTCTTGGCAGCTATAACCGAGGAAATTTAAGCACTGAAAAATTTGTGGAGGAAATAAAATCAATTGCAAGTGAACCCACTGAAAAGCACTTCTTCAACGTCTCTGATGAATTGGCTCTAGTCACCATTGTTAAAACTCTGGGAGAAAGAATATTTGCTCTGGAAGGTATGTCTATTTATCTTATTGTTGCATGTTCTCCTTGCGATTCAAAATTGGTGTAATGGGATTTTTGTATTTATTCCTAACACGTCAGCAATACATGTTTTACTGTGTACAATGGTCAGCATGGAACAATGCTCTTTTATATAAATCTGTCATTGAGATGGCTGTTTCTCACACCACTGGGTCTGCTAGAGGCTCTCTTTGTAAGGGCATCATAGGGCAGTGCTGATGGGACAGCTGATGAAGACAATGGTTAATATAGATATGCCAGGAAAAAAAAATGTTTCCATGTACTTTATTCCTTTTCTGTAACATAGATTTAGAAAATAGGGGTACTACTACCTTAGGTTTGGGTTTTTTTAAAAAAAATGTGTTTCTTCATTTCATATTAAGCTACTACAAGAGTGTTCTTATGCAATAACTTCTTTGTTTGTTTATTTTCTCTGTATTTTGCTCCTTGCCCACTTTAAATGTCTTCCTGGAACTCTGCCTTAAAATCCATGGCAGTGAAACACTGGTTCACTGTCTTTGTCTAAATCATGTTACTTCTTTGCAGATTTTTCCTTGATTTTTCAATGGTGACTGGCTGTTGAGGATAATGAGTTATGACATTCCCCATTCTGCCTTAGGTAGAGGATGTCAAGTAACTAATTACTTTGGAACTAGATCTTTCCTGAAAAAGTCTTCAGAATTGTTATGCCAGGCAAACTGGCAAAGCTTCTTTCTTCATATTCTTTGATGATCTTTAGTCTCAGAGACATGTGCCTTTTCTCCACCTAGGTAGAGAAACCACCAGAGAATTCTTTTGCCCGCACAGGCTACATCCAAATCCAGTTGACTCTGTCCTTGGGAGGACACACTAAAAGACTGTTGTTTCTGCATCTTAAAAATAGATTAAAAACACCTTCTTAGTCTCCCTGATATGACTGATAATAGAAAACAGAGAGATAAATGGGAATGAGACATAACTGAAAAAAAGGGGATCATTTTGATTGAGCATCAAGGGGCTGGGGAAATGCAGAAAAATGAGACTATGAAAATGTGTAGAAAGGAAAGAAAATTGGGACTCCATGTTTGGGTCCCCTTCTAGGAACACTCCCTTCGTGGAAGCTGTTTTTCTCTCTCCTGGATCTCCCCTCTGGAGTCCCCTTCCACACTCTCCTGGAAGCCTGTCTTCCCCTCCTAAACTCCATCTCTCTCTCTATTCCCGTCCACTCAGTGTGGAAGCTGCTTTCCTCTCCTGGATTCCATCTTTCTGGATTCTCTCACTCAGTGTGAGAGTTAGCTGCTTCTTTCTCTCCTCCTGTTTCTCTCTCTGTTTAAATAAATCACTTTCTACAAACAAAAAAAAAGAAAGAAAATTATTTAGAGTTATGGCTTTCAAAGTTTTTTTGAGTGACTCACGATAATAACTATATTTTGCTTTTTGACCCAATGTGCATAAATATATACGTATAAAAATAAATCAAAGCTTTTTTGAGATAGAGTCTTGCTCTGTTGCCCAGGCTGGAGTGCAGTGGCACGATTTCAGCTCACTGCAACCTCCACCTTCTGGGTTCAAGCGATTCTCCTGCCTCAGTATCCCAGGTAGCTGGTACTACAGGCACCTGCCACCACATCTGGCTAATTTTTGTATTTTTAGTAGAGACAGGGTTTCACTATGTTGGCCAGGCTGGTCTCGAACTCCTGACCTTGTGATCTGCCCATCTCTGCCCTCCAAATTGCTGGGATTATAGGCATGAGCCAGATAATTCTTATTATATGTCATGCACTGTGATGTCTTCTCATTTCTTCCATTCTACCTTAATCTCTTTCAATGAAAAAAAAAATGCTGGCCATATTCATTCTGTTGATTTCATGACTGGGTCACAATCCATATTTAGATCATTTGATTTAGAGGTGATAGTAATCTACAGCCCAGCTAGACTGAATTTCTCTGCCTCCCTTTTCCCCTGGCCTCTTTTCCCCTGTGCCTGTGGAAACAGAACACTCTAATTGTTTATGGGTCTGGAGTCGCAGCTGCTTCTGAAGACCTCAGCTGTCTTGTGCTCTGTGTACAAGTCATTTTTAAGTAGCTTTGGTCTCTCAAGAGCTATCCCCATGTCATTTACCAATAACCCAGATTATGAGTTTGGCTGGCCTCAAGGAAAATACATATGGTCTTCCAACTCATTGTGTACTTTTAATTTTTAATACCATGGGCTAAGAAATGATAGAAACAATCTGTAAAAATAATTTAAAAGAAAAGTTACATAGTTACATTTGATATTTCTACAGAATACAGTATCATTTCTAAATCTCCTCTTAAGTAAACAAGTAACCTAAGATGGGCAGAAATGAAGCCCACATCAGCTGGGAGAGGGTGAGATCAATTGCCTGAAATGACATTTTTAGATTGTTTCTAACCTAACTACACTATGGGTTAAATGTGACACTTTGAAGAGCCTCAAGTCTCTATATTCAAATATGGCATCATTTTATAAGGAACTTTACAGATCAAAAATGTTTTATGTATTATCTTTGTTGCTACACTTTCAGAGCCAACCAAAAGCTGTGTTTTGTCTAGATTATTTCTTATATTTTTATGAGATTTTTAAAAAGGCTTTATATCCTTATTGCTTGGGAAATCTCCATTTCCTGGGCAACATTTATCTTAAGGTGGCAAATAGCTGTGATTATGAAATTTCTGCTTGCCAAGGACAGTGCCACCTATTGAGGCAAGTATGCCAAGGACTTGCCTAGTACATCAGAAAATGTTCTAATGTCACCATTTCCCATAGAGCATTGGGAGAAATACCGGCATTTCTAACCAGAGGCTGCACAGTGGTTAGGGTGGTTGGCTCAAGCACTCATGAACAGTCCAGGGAGGATTTTGCAGCAAGCAGCCCAGGAGAATATAGTGGCCTATTACCATTATGCCACTGCAGCAGGAAGAATGTCACATAGCTTCCTTGTGTTTGTTCTCAGCTGAAGGCAGAATAGCATCAGGGCAGGTGCTGGAAATAATGCTGGTTTCTGTTGCTACATTCCTATTGATCTTGCAGATAAGCGAGAAAACACCTTAAAGCATTGTGGACTGAAAATATATGTTTAAATTAAAGTTAAAATGCATCTCAGTCTTAAATTACAGGGCAATTTGTACAATAAGGGATTACAATGATGTATTTGAATTCCTGATTGATTCCCCCATTTAATCTTGTCCTAAAAACGTAATTACTGATGTATTTGTTCACAATTTTATGCAAATAAATAACTAGTGAATACATTTAGTTTCTCAAGTTTGATTATTCCCACGCCTCAATGAAAGAGCAGACTGACTTTCTTAAGTGTTATTTTTAACTTGTCTGCAAGGCCAAATAAATCAGTAACCCCCTAGTGCAAGTAAATAAATCAGCATTCCATCAATTCCCTCAGGAAATTGTGGCTTTGGGTTTGTGAATATTTTGAGAATAATTTGAGAGTAGCAGACTTCCGTAGAAAGAGCTTCAATATGGATATAGGATCTTTTAAAGATATATGATTGAATAGCATGTGCACAGCCCTGTCACAAAGACCCCCTCCTGATCTGTGAGTTATACTTGCCACCAGTAATCAGAGCAAATAAGTGCAAATTAAAATATCTAAACCCTTGCAATGGAATTCTGATGGTATCTATGGCTTGAATATGGGTGGGACTGATGGAGTTGAGAAACCTTTTTAAACATGTGAATAAAATTTTTTTCAGTCCCCTAACATATTAAGAAAGTTCAGCCTGAGAGTTGGGCAGGGTTCCAAAAGCATGAGTAGAGACAGGAATTCCCTCCTGTAGTACATTCATCTTGAGCCATGTGAACCCAAAGCACCACAGGATCCACAACAGCTACAGTATTAGATTGGATATTTCTTGGCTGGACATGGTGGCTCATGCATGTAATCCCAGCACCTTGGGAGGTTGAGGTAGTTGGATCACTAGATCAAGAGATCGAGACCATCCTGGCCAACATGGTGAAACCCTGTTTCTACTAAAATACAAAAATTAGCTGGGCCTGGTGGCGCTTGCCTGTAGTCCCAGCTGCTCAGGAGGCTGAGGCAGGAGAATTGCTTGAACTGGGGAGGCAGGGGTTGCAGTGAGCCGAGATCGTGCCACTGCACTCCAGCCTGGTGACCGAGTGAGACTCCATCTCAAAAAAAAAAGAGAGAGAGAGAGAGATTTCTCAACCCCTCCAGCAAGGACAGGGCAGCAAGAATTTAAGATATAAGCCCTTTGACCATTTTTCTCTGTCTTCTACCCAGGCCTACCTAGAAATTTTGGGTTGAGAAATGTATGGCTGAAAATGCCCTAAGATGTTTGAAATTCTGGTTGGTAAGACCACAAGCTCTACAAGGTCTGTGTTACTCTGCAAGTCAGCAGTGCATGAAAAGGCATTGTTACTTATTTATGGTGATACTTTTCTATGTTATAGCTACAGCTGACCAGTCAGCAGCTTCATTTGAAATGGAAATGTCTCAGACTGGCTTCAGTGCTCATTATTCACAGGTATGTTGACCAGTTGGTAGAAAATGAAATATGTGTTTGCAAGGCTTCCTTTCCCAAATACAACATCTAGTACTGTAAGTGCAATGTGCACTTTTGAACAATTATGCAAGCTATGTTGATGTTTGCTAATTCAAACAGAAAAATGTCATTTCACAAGCTTCTTATTAGAAAAACATGTTCTCTTACTAATTCACTGCATTGTACTAACAGATGTGAATCAGTGTGAGTTGTACCTTATTGTAATTATGTACCTATCTAAATGAAATAATTTAGCATATTTGCTAAAGATGTAAAATATGTTTCCACAGTATCAAAAAATTCAAGGGTCTTATTAGAAATTCATGTTCAAGACCTAGGATTCTTGGCACCAAGAATAAAGTAGAAAGGCAAGATTAGAAGATATACCATTTGTAGGTAACGAAAGAAAAGGCATAATGGTCCTTGCAAAAGAATATTGACATTTCCATGTGCAATTTTACTGTATCACTTGGGCAAGTTACTTGTGCCTCAGTTTCCTTTTCTGTAAAACAGGTATGGTAACAATAGCATCTAGCCCCTAGAGTTATTATGAGAATTATATGAGTTAGTAAATGTAAAGCACTTTGAACACTGCCCATACACATTGTTAATGGTGTTTAAGTGTTTGCTGTTATTATTTTTATTAAATATTATTTCTTCTCTATTTGCATGTAAGGACTGGGTCATGCTTGGAGCAGTAGGAGCCTATGATTGGAATGGAACAGTTGTCATGCAGAAGGCTGATAAAATCATAATCCCTCAAAACACAACTTTTAATGTTGAGTCTACCAAAATGAATGAACCTCTTGCTTCTTATTTAGGTAAGGTTTGGGTATAATTAGAAAAGAGTATTTTTTAATTTTCAATTTTTTACCTTTAGCATTATTTGCTTGTATTTCTATAGTCTTACAATCATGTAGCAAGATTATTTCAAAGAGTTGGATATTTTCCATAACCTGTTCAAAGTTTCAGGCCTTTGAGCAGCTTTAGTTAGTCAAAATGACAGAATATGGAAGTCATTTTTTGTTAGTAGGGCTATCTAATGCAGGGAATGGTTTAGGATGAGATGTGTACTTTCTGATATGTTCAGTTTCCCTGTGCCTGGTATCAACTTTAACTTCAAGAAGAGCTTTGAACCTGGTAGACAGGAAATGAGGGTAGAAAAGGAAACCTTGACTTCTCCTATATCCTGAAAACCAAACTCTCATATTGTCTTAAACGTCTTCTATCATTAATTTATTTCTATGGGTCCTAATTTTGGAAAAGAAAAATGTGTTTTGCATTGTAACTTCTTCCTTAATAGTGCTACTCACAATCAGACAAATATTGAACTTAAGCCCAGTGATGTAACATCGTCTTGTTTCCCAGCGTCTTGCCGGAAATGGGGAGGTATGTGTCCGGCACCACTTTATTTCGGATCTATACCAAGCTGAGTGATGCCTAGGGAATGCCAGGGAAATCTCCCATCACCGAAAAAAGATCTCTGGGGACAGTTGAAAGGACTTAGAATGGGAAGTACCATCAGGATATGGCTTCCCACCTCTTACTCACTCTACAAATATTTGGGGGCTCCTTTTTTGCCCCAGGCATTGATCTCAGTGCGGGGATGCAGTGATGAAGGAGACAAATACCTTGTCCTGGAAGCATTCACAGTTTCAGGGGTTAGTATTCCTCTCTGGGATCTTTCTGCCCCACAGGCAAGTCTTTTTCTCTCTGTCCCAGTTGCTTTCTATTTTACCCTGAAGGTGGCAGGTCTTTACTGCTGTACTGTGTTTATACATCTCCTTATTCAAGGACACCTATTAAAGCTATAGGGTCAGCAGGACTTAAGAAGAATGAAAGGACAAGAGTTTTAGATGACTAAAAATATAACAGTAAACAGCAGCTACACTGTGACTGCTAAAATCTCTTAAGACATGTAGAACTGTATGAATGAAAATCTAGTCTATTTCTCATAAAAATCCTACTGCATTCTACTCTGGTCAGGCAACAGCTAGAGAATTTCATTGTTCTAAGTATCACATATTCTCTATGTAATCTTTGACTGGAGAAATGACACACTAAGATGTGCCAGTAAAAGATTACGTAGAGAAGGCAGCTCCAGAAGCAATTCCCTGCTACAAGTCTCACTCTCTCCAAAATTTAAAGAAATTGAAGGTTAGAAAACAAAGTGTGCATTGCATATCTTTTAAATATTTGGAGGATTGTGATATGATAGGTGTTAGGCTTAAAATTCATTTCAAATTTTAGCATTAAAAGAGATCCTATGGAGCTTGTAGTCTTAATTTCCAATTAGAAACTGAGAGATAGAACAATTCTGTCCCAGCTGCCTATGGCAGGTGTGAAACCACAATTGAGGGCTCTTGATTCTTACATCAGTGTTCATATCACCATACTGAAAAAACTGATTCTGGGTTGATCAGGAAAGCACTCCACAAATATTGATACCAGCAATGTGCCAAACACTGAGTTTATAAATAGAGAATAAAAAGACAGATGAGGCAGATCAGTTCCTACATTGATAAACCTTACTTTTTTGACTGAGAGACAATAATGAAACAAGTGATAACTATCAATATGATACGTGTTATGACACAGAATCCCTAAAAAAGATAGAAGTGACTTAGATTAGATATCTTCTAAAAGTTATTTACATCCTAAGGTTCTGTGAGACTGTTTTATGGGAAATACCTTGGAAACGAGAACCAGCTTAACCTGAGGCTTCTTTTTATTCTATGTAGAATAAATGTAGAACAACTATTTATATGTAATGGATGACATATAAATTAGTAAAACTCTTTATGAAAGGCGTTTGACAATGTGTTTACAGAGCTGTAAAAGTGTTCATACCACATTTATACAGAAATTTCACTTCTGTGGATCTAACCTCAGGGAAAAAAAATCTGATATTTAAGAATGCTAGCTGGGCGCAGTGACTCACACCTATAATCCCAGCACTTTGGGAGGTCGAGGCAGGGGGATCACCTGAGGTCAGGAGTTCGATACCAGCCTGACCAGCATGGAGAAACCCTATCTCTACTAAAAATACAAAATTAGCCAGGCATGGTGGTGCGTGCCTGTAATTCCAGATACTCGGAGGCCGAGTCAGGATAATCGCTTGCACCCAGAAGGCAGAGGTTACAGTGAGCCAAGATTGTACCATTGTACTCCAGCCTGGGCAACAAGAGTGAAACTTCATCTAAAAAAAAAGGAAAGAAAAAAAAGAATGCCAAGTGAACAATGATTTCCATTGTATTATTATGTATGGTGTTGGGGGAAAGGCTATTATCCTAAATGCCCAAAAATATGCAGATAGTTAAGTAAATAGTAAATCCACTTATGCACCCATGAATATAAAAATATAAAAATATTATGCACCCATGAATATAAAAACTAGAAAGCTGCTAATTCTGTGATACTAAGGACTTGAAGTGGTTATGGCACAAGGCGTACACTTAGTGCTAGAGATAAGGTCACAGAGACTTGAGTTTGTTTTCCGATTCTGCCCCTGGCTATGGCTTTAGGCAAATTACTTTCCCTGTCAAAGCCTCAATTTTCCTATTTCTAAAATGGAAATAATTACATTGCATATATCATTTAAGTTGTTAGGAAAATTAAGTAATGACCATAAGATATTTAGTAGTGTCCCTACACACAGTTAGCCCTCAATGGGTGTTGTCTATTATTTTATTATGTAAATGTTATTTTGTATTTTTTATTATATAATGTTATATAATCAATGATCCTCTTATTAGTATTGTGGTAGTCAGAATAATGATCCCCAAAGATGTGCATGTCCTAATCCCAGTACCCATGAATATGTTACCTTGTATGGCAAAAGGGACTTTCCAGTTATGATTAAATTAAGGATTCTGAGATGGGAAGATTATCCTCAGATATCTGGCTGGGCCTGATATAATCACACATTCCAAAAATCAGGGAACTTCCCCTGGATGTGGCCAGAGGGAGATGGAAAAATGGTCAGAGAGATGCAATGGTTTTGGCTTTAAAGATGAAGGGAGGCCATAAGCCAAAAACTGTGGATGGCTCTAGAGCTACAAAGGGCAGGAAAATGGATTCTCCTTGATAGGCTCCAGAAAGGAACACTGCCCTGCCAACATCCTGCCATTTAGTCCAGGAAGCTCTTATGCTGACTTCTAATATACAGAATTGTAAGATAATAAGTTTGTGCTGCTTTAAGCCACCAAGTTTGTGGTAGTTCACTACAGCAGCAATAGAAAACTCATACATAATATATAATAATAATAGTAGCTGACATTAGTACTATGACTAATAAGTATTGAGTATTTGCAAAGTTAAAGACACTGTGTGAAGTCCGCAAAGATGTGTGTGATATTGTTGCCACTCTTAGGAAGTTCACACATTTTAGCTGATAACTTTCGGTAATCTTTAACTGTAACTTTTGGTAATCTTTGATTATATGAGGTTAAATTTCTTTAAAACAAATTCTTAAGAATCCTGAATCTGTCATTCCCAAAAAGCTTGGGTTAAAGGTTGCTTAAAGCAGACCTGGAGACTTCAACTTAAAAATATCACTGCAAATAAGAAAATATTGAAAGAATCTTTATTTCTGACCACAGGATTTAAATATGACTTCTCTCTGTCCAGGAAAGGAAATTTTTGGATATGTTTTCTATAATGTGTTGAGATTTTCTTTTCTGTTTCAGAAATTATTTTATTATCTTAGAAGTGAGAGTATATGACATTTTTCCAACATAATGTCTAATACAGGTAAGATTTCTTTCAAAGTAGAAAAACACCCAGAAAAGGCAGGGCAGAATAGCTTGGTTCTTTTTTTCCACCCAAAATATTATTCTAAATCTGAAATGAAGTTTTCAAACATGTTTCTTTGTGAGGTTCACAAATTAGGAAGAGATAGAATGTATTTTTCCTAAATCTGTATGGATTGCAAGTTATAAGACTATGAAAAATCTTATGAAGGAAGTAAAGTAAGAGGCAGAGGCTCTATTAGAAAAATCCCATACTTATCAATAATGATCAGGAAGCTGTAAGAACTAAAGCTGTCGAACAACTGTCTCAGGACATAGTCATACAACTATCTTTCTATTACCTAAACTGCCTTATGCCAGCACAGGCATAGCAAGGTGAGAATACTGTTGGGACGGCGTTCTCCCGCCTCCTCCCCCAACAGTTTGCTCAATTCTATTCCTGCCATACAGCTGCCAGAGGAGAGGGAAAGATGTGAGGCAATGTCATGACATCAAGACAGATCATGCCTGTTATACTTGTACCTCACTAGATCCCTGCAGTTTTCCCAAGAAGTGAATTATGAGAGCTAACAGAATTCATTGTTTATAAATCCATGGAAAGGGCTATGGCCATCCATTTTTGCCTTTTGTTCCTTTATATATATATATATATATATATATATATATATATATATATATATATTTGAGATATTGTTTCCTCTTATTGTCCAGGATGGAGTACAGTGGCAGGATCCCTGCTCACTGCAACCTCTTCCTCCTGGGTTCAAGCGACTCTGCTGCTTCAGCCTCCCAAGTAGCTGGGATTACAGGTGCCAACCACCACGTCTGGCTAATTTTTTGTATTTTTGGTAGATACAGGGTTTCATTATGTTGGCCAGACTGGTCTCGAACTCCTGACCTCAGATGATCCACCCACCTTGGTCTTCCAAAGTGCTGGGATTATAGGCATGAGCCACTGTGCCTGGCCCTTCTCTTCCATCTTATGCTTTTCTTTTTCAGGAAACGCTATTACTCTTAAATATTTATAATTATCTTCCTTCTATTAAAATTAGGCTTTACTTGTCTCTGGCTCTCTTTTTATTTTCCTCTTTCTTGTCTTTAGACACCCAAGCCTCAATTAGTAACTCTGCTAACTGCTAGTTACTGTCCCTGAGATGATTTCATTTTTAATTATCAAGTATAAGTCATCAAAGATGGTTAACTAAACAATCTCACAATTCCTACCCTCAAACATAATTCTCAATTCATTTTTAAAAAGGGGCTTTTATCAAGTTATACTCACAGCTCTGCAAATTACACACACACACACACACACACACACACAAATAGGAACTAATACTCTCATCCTACTCCCTTCTTTAAACTTCTTAGTAGAGTGGCATGAAATAAAACAGCCTTCATTTTGCACATTCTTCTTTTCCATTTTATGTGTGTATAAACACAGCCTGAAAGTTTCATTTTAAAACAATATTGCGGTTAGCAATATAAACACATAACACATTACATGTTTGAAAAAATATTTCACATTCTATTACTTATAATAAAAAAACCTTCAAAAAAAGACAAAGAAATGAGAATGTGAAGAATATTCATAAAGTATAATACGTCTGACAAATTGTGTTCCTTTAGCGCTTTTAAGAATAAATGTATTGTACAAAAACTTTTGTTCCTTTTTAACATTTTTAGAGGAAAGTGAAGCTTACTTTGTATTAAATACTTGGTGAGTTAGGAAAATGATCTTTTTCTCAATGAGAAGTGCTGTTCTGTGGCATTTTGAAAAATAATCTTACTTCTGCTCCACTGAAGAAATCTGGTTATTAGAAGAGTTATTCCTTTTATAAAATCAAAATCTGCATGTGATAATTTTTGTTCATTGATCTGGCTCTGTTCTCAAACCACAAAGAATAAATTTAATTTTTAACTCAAAAATTAGTCTTAAAAACACAATTTATGTTCTTTCTGTAAGCAGCCTGAGATCATCTTTTAAAATGGTTCACTATTTGCTTGACCTAAAAAAAAAAAACCATAAAATCATGCAAATCAAAAGATTCAAATCTTTGTGTTCTTTTTAAGAACATTCATAGAACTACCCAGGCAATCCTTAGGTATGTATATCTGAAAAGCCACCAAGTATCTTAAAGCTGTGACTTCAGAGAAACACTGTGTGTGTGCCGTTCCATCGTTGCAATGGTGCAGTTGGTAGATGTGTCCAAAGTCAAACAATGGAGCTGGACAGAGGGTTTATGGCTCCCAAAGACTGCTGAAAGTTTGTTGCACATGCTTAAAAATATAAAAAGCAGTGCTAAACTTACTTAAACGTTTTTATGTAGATTCTCTTGGTCATTATGTACATCTAGGTGGGCAAAGTACCCAAGATACACTGGCTTTATTTACAGGGCTCGTGGTCAGACTAACCTACACATGACCCCCACACCCATCACCCCACCCACCACAGTGAGATGATTCTTACTGAAGTAGAACAAATTTTTCCAAACCAGAGGAGGAAGTTGCACAGAAGAAAAAGGTATCCAAGAAGAAACTGAAGAAACAGAAATAATGACCCAGGAATAACTTCAATATAAAATATACGCAAAAAAAAACCAGAAGCAGAAAAAAAAGACAATTCAAAATTGTAAAAAGCATGAAAGCTCAAGTAAAAAGAGGAAAGATCAGATATGTGAAAAATGATTCAAGCTCTCTATTGAATAAAATCACATTAAAATCACAGCGAGGTAGTGTTAGACAATGCTTAACACCTATTAAAACATACATAAATTTAAATAATAGTAATGATACACAAAGCCTGGAACAGTTTCATGAAATTGACTTTCACATGGCTGTTCATAGAACAATGTAGTACAAATTTTCTGGAAATAATTTTCTAGACACTATAAGAATTATTTTAAAATTTGATCCAGTAATCTATTTCTTAAAATTTATTGTCAAAAAATCCAGAAGGGGGACAAATTTAAATTCTTTTTGAAGTCTTACATATAATACCAAAAATATTAAAACCACCTAAATTCTAGTGTTTCATAAGGGGATGGTCATGTAATATAAATGCAATGTCTTTGCACTTTAACCAAGAGAAACAGTCTTTAGTTATTTAAAATTACAATTTAAAAAGCTAATAGCAGCACGGAAAACATTTACATTTTCTATGATTCCAGTTATATAAAAAGTGTTAATTTCTGTAGTGCAGACACATATATCCAAATGAAGTACTGAATTGATTTATTACAAATTGGGGTGGGGGTGTGCAATTTTTTCTTTTCATGTTATCATTGTTCCATCATTTGTGATTATAAACAATGAAAAACTGAGATTGGGGGAAAATCGCTTCTCAGGAGAAAGCAGTTGTGGTAGAGAACATATTAAAAGCTTCCACCAGGCCGGGCGCAGTGGCTCACACCTGTAATCCCGGCACTTTGGGAGGCTCAGGCAGGCAGATCACTAAATGAAGAGATCGAGACCATCCTGGCCATGGTGAAACCTCGTCTGTACTAAAAATACAAAAATTAGCCAGGCGTAGTGGCAAGAGCCTGTCGTCCCGGCTACTCGGGAGGCTGAGGCGGAAGAATTGCTTGAACCCAGGAGGAGGAGGTTGCAGTGAACCGAGACTGTGCCACTGCACCCCAGCCTGGCGACAGAGCAAGACTCCGTCTCAAAAAAAAAAAAAAAAAAGCTTCCACCAAAACAAATGCTTTCATGTTATTTTCAAAAAATGTTCATATAAAAATGGTTCTCTCAGCCATTTAAAAAGAGTCTTAATTTATTACATGAAGACTTTAAGATTCTGGAATCTTTCTTTTATTAGGTTACACAGTAAACTCTGCCACTGCTGCTGCTGGGGATGTGCTGTATATTGCCGGACAGCCTCGATACAATCATACAGGCCAGGTCATTATCTACAGGATGGAAGATGGAAACATCAAAATTCTCCAGACACTCAGTGGAGAACAGGTAAACTAGAAAAATACTGTTTTATTTAAATTAATCTATTCATGCTCTATGTATGTTTACTCTCTGTCATCCAAAACTTTAAAAAATGCAATACCTACATATTCATTAACGACTGGGAACAGGGCCCCATGTTAGGTTTTTTGGAAGGATGTTAGTGTCTGTATCTTTAACTTCATGTTTGATGGGGGTGGAGATAAGATGTATAATAGATGTAGATACAGACGTACAAATACATACACAAGGAAAGAGATCCAAAACGTTAGGAGGCATGAAAGTACCAGTGACCCAGACACTACAGTCAGAATATGATGAGATTGCTTTAAGTCAGATCGGTGCAGAAAGGCTTATTAAGAGATGAAATTTGGGCTGAATCTAGAAGGGATGATAGAATGTAGATAGGTACAAAGAGCAGTGAAAGGAAAAGTTAAAACGATAACATGGACCCATATTATTTGATGTTTTGAATGGCAGGTTAAGAGCCTGGATTCTATCTTGGAGGTAATGGGAAATTGTCAGTATGTAAAATTGGAAAATTCTTATTAGATAGTATTGAATATTAAAAGAAGTTTGGGAAATTATACATGAAAAACATTTATATATATAAACTGAAAGAAACAGCAGAAATATGCAAACGTGAGAATTACACACACACACAACTGAAAGAAACATCTAACCATGCTTTTTTTAATTGTTATTTTTGAATTGTGATAGCTTGGGTAACTTTTGTCTCTAAAAAGTTTTCTCTCTTTTTCAACAGTTCTACAAGGAGAATTTATTAACTTTATTCTACAGTCCTTTCACAGAGGGTGGGAGAGCGGTTCTTCTCAGCCTTCACTAAATACTCCAACCCTCTAGACTAGAGAGCTGCATCAGCCCTCCTGCTCTGCAGGAGTTGGAGCCACAGCCCAGCACAGTAGCAAAGCTCAGGTGCAGGGATACTCACATTAGGCAGGTCCAAGAACTCACTGGCTTTAAAGCCCCATGCCCCGCAGGAGCCGTATCTTTGATGACAACACCACAGACGTAGCTTCCAGGGTCTCTACAAAGGGCATGCCGGCTACAAGAGTAATTGCACACTGAGAAGTCAAAAATATATCTTCATCAGATACTTACAATTCATTTATAGTTCCACACAGCCTGAATACAATATTCCAATAAGAGGTTATTTGGATTAGCCTTAGCGGTACAGTTGAAATCCCAGCCTCAGCAGATTCCCAGGGAAAGAGTCAGAGTAACTAAAGGTCAGATCCTCATATACCAGGTGAAAGTGTTTTACTAACTCTTTGCCCACATTTATACTTGGAAAATGCACAACAATTAGAATAAGATTATTGTTATAGCTCAAAGTGGAGATAAGAAGAACATAAAAAAGATGTCAGCAATAAAAATGGAAAAGGAAGGGGCACGACAGATATCAATAAGAAGAAACTGACAATAGTAAAATGAAACATTTTAGATGACATCTTAGATCCATTATCGCTCCGTTAATTGTCTACAAGATAGGAAGTATCAAATTTTATGAAAATTTGCATGTGAAAGTTGAGGAGAGTGTCATGAATGATTTAAATTATGAATGATTTCATTTTCAAGCCTGGGAATCTGAAAGAAAGGTGGCTTCATGGTGAGAACGTCAACACTTCCAGCAATTTAGGAATTTTTTTTTTTTTTTTTTTTTTTTTTGAGACGGAGTTTCGCTCTTGTTACCCAGGCTGGAGTGCAATGGTGCGATCTCAGCTCACCGCAACCTCTGCCTCCTGGGTTCAGGCAATTCTCCTGCCTCCGCCTCCTGAGTAGCTGGGATTACAGGCACGCGCCACCATGCCCAGCTATTTTTTTTGTGTGTGTGTTTTTAGTAGAGACAGGGTTTCACCATGTTGACCAGGATGGTCTCGATCTCTTGACCTCGTGATCCACCCGCCTCGGCCTCCCAAAGTGCTGGGATTAGAGGCGTGAGCCACCGCGCCCGGCTAATTTAGGAATTTTTAACAATGATATTTGGCTTTTAGACATGTTCCCTGTAACAGTAAGCACAAATTCAGGTATTTGCAGGTGCCGGTAAAGTAAAATCAAAATAGGTGAAGTCAGTGAGTAAAGCTGCTGGGCAAAACCCACAGGAAGTGATGGGAACCATGGACCTGGGCAACTAGTGAGCTTCCATTCAGCTCCAGTTGACTGTTGCCATGTAAGAAGGAAAGCCCAGTGTTGCAAGATCTTGTATTTTACTTATGTTTATAATTAATTCAACTTTTAAAAAATCCTCTTAAGCCCCACAAAAACCTGTGAGAAAAAGTCGGTGTCTTTTGCCCACATGTCCTAGAACTGTAGAACTGAAGACTTGAGCAAGAAGACAGAAAAATATTTGCAATTGCCTTAGTAGACACATTTAAGGATTGCTCCTCTAGGGTAAGAGAATGGAAAATAGCTACAGGTCTGAGCTCTAAAAGAGGCCGAAATTTAGAAAATGGGAAGAGGGAAAAGCCAGTAAATATGAAAAGAGTGGTCTATGCCACAAGTGCAGAAGCAAGAAAGTAAGAGTAAAATCACAGAGCAAGAGAGTAAGAGTAAAATCACAGAAGCCAGTACAGTGAGATTCAATAAGATAATTGTTAAGAGCAATTTAATATTAAATTGTTAATATTAAAATAGAATAATATTTGAAAAGGTTATTTAAGCACTTAGATAATGAGGTATAAGTTCTTTGCTTTTCTCTAACATATTCCTATCTTTAAATGAGAAAACATACTTCTGTAAGGGATGATCCCCTTGCAATCCTTCTATATTTTTCTGTCTCCTATAGCTGCTGGGATAAGACTTAACCATTTCATTGAGAAGACAGTCTTCCAAGACTACATGAGGTGAAATATGCCATACCAGTATTCTAGGATAACTCAGTTATTTATAATGTATTTAAACATATATGCAACAATTCCAGAATGCATACTACTGCATTTTTATTATTATGCATTCTACTGCATTATTATAATTTTATTTCCTTAAAAAAATCACTATAGTATTACTGACCTTTTCTGATTTGTGGAGAAGAAAGAGAGATTAGAGTGAAATCTAAAGAAATTCATTTTGTTACTGTCAGGTGATGAAATCTGTAACAGCTGTTCATCCTCAAAGATAGAACTGACTAATATTCTTTTTTCTCATGAAAAAGCCAATAAATAACTTTCAGGGAGCATCCATTTTTATCTTTCATTTCCTTCGCCAACTAGCTCCTACTCTCGATTAACCAAATGCAGCTTTAAGCTTCCTTGAGAGTTGCTGATGTTCATTGGGCTGTTTTCTTTCATTTTGTGTCCTAGATTGGTTCCTACTTTGGCAGTATTTTAACAACAATTGACATTGATAAGGATTCTAATACTGACATTCTTCTAGTTGGAGCCCCTATGTACATGGGAACGGAGAAAGAGGAGCAAGGAAAAGTGTATGTGTATGCTCTCAATCAGGTAATGGTATCCGAGTTTGGTAGAAATCCAGGAAAACCTCTTCCTTCTCTGTATTTTTGAATAATAACTTTCACTCACTTTGAAAACACAGAGCAAAGTAGCTATTGGAATTCATTCACTCCACCAACCCCCCAGTTTTGAAATGATCATTTATAAGTCTAATAAAGTAGCTCCAACCCTTAGATATTTTCTCTTTGGAAACTTGAATTATGTTTAACAATATATAGGATAAAGGAGGTAATTGTAAATCTCACTAAACTGCTAAATAAATCCACAAGGCTTTTTTAGCAGTGGCTTGGAGGCTTATCAGCTCTGGCTTGAAGGTGGATAAATAACCTCAGCGGTTAACTCGTATTGGGTGGAAGGGGAGAAGTTATGAATTTTAAGGCAGTGACACCGCAGGCTTCTAGGAACTACTTCATTGGGCCGGAGTGAGATTTTGTGTTACATTCCTGACTTTATACATCATTTTTAAAGTGAAATAATTTTTAATTTCTTCATTAGAAGAGTGTTTGGCTCTTTACAACAAAGCCAGTGTTTATCTATTTAGCTTTTCCAAATATGTACATTCTCTCCTAAACTGATTATTTTAAACAATGAATCATATATCTTTCTTCCTACCATTTGCTGGCTTCCTCCTGTCAACTTTTTTTGTCCTGGGCTGTTTTGTCCTTTTTCCAGGAAAGGGTATTCTTGTTCACCTTTGCTAGTATTTTCCGTCTGGGATTTTGTTTTGTTTTTTTTTTTCCTCCACTCTAGGCAGCTTTAGAGAAAGTTTCCTTTTTGAGCAGAATAAATTTTTGCTTTGCACAATATTGGGTGAAGAAGGGATAGTGACACAAATTGAGGATTTAAATATTATTTGGCCTGAGAAGTTGCTGTGAATTATATACTCCTTCAATTGCATTACAAAGAGACTCCGTTAAAGTATGTGTCCCACATTTCTACAGTCTGCTTTTTGGAATCCCTAACTTTGCTCTCAGATAAGCACACTTTTTAAGAAATTTTACCAGCTTTACCACTAATGTACAAATGGTTGTTAATAGCACTGATTTAGTATACTTTAAAAATTCTACTCTGCTGTAGTAATGACGGAAATCCATAAGTATCCTGTTTATCTTTCTTTCAGACAAGGTTTGAATATCAAATGAGCCTGGAACCTATTAAGCAGACATGCTGTTCATCTCAGCAGCGCAATTCATGCAAAAAACAAAACAAAAATGAGCCATGTGGGGCTCGTTTTGGAACTGCTATTGCTGCCGTAAAAGACCTCAATCTTGATGGATTTAATGACATCGTGATAGGAGCACCACTGGAAGATGATCACGGGGGAGCTGTGTACATTTATCATGGAAGTGGCAAGACTATAAGAAAAGAGTATGCACAAGTAAGAATTGAGACCTACAGGCACCCACCCTTCAGTGATATCAATGCCAGGCATTACCTACCTGTCTAACTTCATGAGTTACTTAATTTCTTCCTTCTGACCTTAATGGGAAACTAGATTTAATTCTCTTCTAAGTGTTCTTTATAGAGGAATTACTTTGTATTTTATGAATTTATCTAGTTTCCTTCCTGTTGTTATTTTCCATGTCTCCAAGATTTGCCCTTTTTTTTGAGACAGTTTCGCTCTTGTTGCCCAGCCTGGAGTGCACTGGCATGATCTCCACTCACTGCAACCTCTGCCTTCTGGGTTCAAGCAATTCTCCTGCCTCAGCCTCCTGAGTAGCTGATATTATAGGCATACACCACCACGACCAGCTGATTTTGTATTTTTTCATAGTAGAGATGGGGTTTCTCCATGTGGATTTGACTTTTTGAAACAGTAAAAAGCAAAAGAATACTTTGTGACAATGCTGTTTCACATCTGCAGTGTGTCCCCTTGTAAATAGAGGGCACTGCTTTCTAAATAAGACAAAAATAATTAATTGTATGACTCAGCCAATAAAGGAAATTAGATTTTTGGTTTTATATTTAATGTCCATGCTGTTATAATAAAATTGCATTGAATTTATATTTATGCATTAAGTTGATATATTTTCCTCAAATTAATTAGGATTTCTAAAGGTTTATAATTTTCTCACAAGTAATCCTTAGAAAAAAATAAATCTGAATATTAAGTTTAAACTGCAGGAGACTTCTGTTATTACTGCTTTTAATTTGCTATCAGATAACAGCTCTCATCCATGAGTTATTTTTCCTGCATTAGAAAAATAACAAGTTACCAAAGTGCTTAATGCACTATAAAAACAGGAGAATGTAAAGGAGTTAGAAAGTAATTGCCTGTTTTTGAGTAATCATAGTCGGTTAGACATTGAACAACCACTTACAAATGAAACAAAATTCACTATCTTCTACTTTATATAATATGAAAAGAAATCAGAATATTTCTTTTCCTATTTGAGTATTCTCTTCGGCTCTGTAGTCAACAGAGTTCTCAAAATCTATTCATGTAATGCAAAGCTGCATGATTTTTTCATAAAACCATAATGACAATCTGAACAAAATAAAGGGCTTATTTTAGTAACAGCACTTGTATCCATTTGATAAGTGATTTGTTTCTGTTGCAAATCTTTACGGCATTATTTACTTAACGAGAGACAGGCAATATTAATGACTGGGGCATGATGGAATTAGGAAATGCGGGAAGAGGGTACTTTCTTATATTCTACCACTTTATTCCTTCAGTGTCAATCCTGCAGATTTAATGGGGTAGCATTTGAGGTAGAAAAGGTAAGATAAATCATTGTTAGATGGAATAGATGGTCATAAACAACTTATTTTATAAATGATGGTAAATCAAGATGCAACTTTAAACAAAAACAAAAAACATTAGAGTTGGATTTGTTTAATTACTGGCCAATGTTTTTCCAGGGAATAAGTGAAGATGTGCTTACTCATTTCCATGAGAGCCAGAGATGCTGCTTACGTATGGGATAATCCAGAATCAAACAGTCAAGCCCATAGAACCAATAAGGCAGATACCTCCTGAATTATTTGCTTAAAAAAATGAGGAAATACTTTCCAATAAGCCTCACCTGTTTAAGCATGAAAAATGTTTCCATTTGGTTTGCTTTAGCGGACTTCCTATTTTATGTTATTTATGTGGAAAACAAGAGGCTGGGAAGACTTGAAATTTAGGGAGGGTTCCTAAGTACTGTCTCCTTCCATTAAAAGCATTCGCTTCAGCTTGAACCAACACTAAGTCAGGAAGTACAGATATCAAACATACTATGTCTAGTAATGTGCACAGATCATCTTTAAGAGCTCCATATTCATTTGTGCCATCCTAATGTTGTGAATACATGTGAGTGGAATTGAGTCTCTGTGCTCTCAACTTTTAGGACAATTTTTGAAAGACAGTAGAGATTACATATTGGAAAATGTATTTGATGGGATGTGTTATTTTATACCCAGCCACAAAGTTCAGTCAACTCCAAATTGACCCCCAGGAAAATTTTCTACTCCCCTCCCCGCTTTGCTGATATGATATGTTTTCAAGATTTTCAGTACCTTTAAATATGTCTGTGTGACAGGATTGGATAGGAAGTAGAAAGTACAGAACCAATTACTCACACTGTTTCCTTTGAGGATTAGACAAAATTACATTACATAATTTCCCCCTCTCTCTCTGGTGTCAGTGACCTTGAAATGATTTTGTCTGCACTATATAAAGAGCAATATCCTCTGGGAACATCTGAGTATTTCCTCTAATCTCCACACGAAGGACCTCTTGGGTGGATTCCCAAAAGATTTTTAATTTTTTGTTGTTGTTGTTAAATTCTCAGATCTATTTGAAGCTGTTTTGAACAGACTCTTATCACATGAAACTTTTTTATTATTATTATTCTCACAGCGTATTCCATCAGGTGGGGATGGTAAGACACTGAAATTTTTTGGTCAGTCTATCCACGGAGAAATGGATTTAAATGGTGATGGTCTGACAGATGTGACTATTGGGGGCCTTGGCGGTGCTGCCCTCTTCTGGTATGTATTTTAATAACATCCCGTTACTCTGAGACTGGGTCACCCGTAACTTGCAGAGCTCCCAGTGCTATTGGAGCTCATGTCATACCAAGTATCTATTTCCTTTTGTGTTCACTATGCAGATAGAAGTTACTCAGTTGAGTGAGCTGGAAGGGTCAATACATCTTAAGAACAAAGAAGCTATATAAAAGGAACAAGTGGGGTCGGGCGCGGTGGCTCAAGCCTGTAATCCCAGCACTTTGGGAGGCCGAGGCGGGTGGATCAGGAGGTCAACAGATCGAGATCATCCTGGTCAACATGGTGAAACCCCGTCTCTACTAAAAATTACAAAAAATTAGCTGGGCACGGTGGCGCGTGCCTGTAATCCCAGCTACTCAGGAGGTTTAGGCAGGAGAATTACCTGAACCCAGGAGGCGGAGGTTGCGGTGAGCCGAGATCGCACCATTGCACTCCAGCCTGGGTAACAAGAGCGAAACTCCGTCTCAAAAAAAAAAAAAAAAAAAAAAGGAACAAGTAGAATGAACTCTTAATTTGGTGTGTCTATTACGTGGTTTACACCAAAATAGGCATTCATTTTAGGAGAGGTACAGGAGAAAAGAAGATCTTATAGAGGATGTACTATAAACAAGAAAATATCATTAATATTGTGTTCCTTATAAGGTTTCAGAGATAACAGATTTTTTATTCATTTACCTAATACATAGAAATAGATCATTGTAGCCGGGCGCGGTGGCTCACGCCTGTAATCCCAGCACTTTGGGAGGCCGAGGCGGGCGGATCTCCTGAGGTTGGGAGTTCAAGACCAGCCTGACCCACATGGAGAAACCCCATCTCTACTAAAAATACAAAATTAGCCGGGCGTGTTGGTGCATGCCTGAAATCCCAGCTACTTGGAAGGCTGAGGCAGGAGAATCACTTGAACCCAGGAGGCGGAGGTTGAGGTGAGCCGAGATCACACCATTGCACTCCAACCTGGGCAACAAGAGTGCAACTCCATCTCAAAAAAAAAGAAGCAGATAATTGTGCAGCACTGTCTGACTGTGTTTATATTGTTAGTAATGCCTAGAGGCATCTTAAGTAATATCTTTGCTTAGCTTTTAAAATGCCCACATCCCAAAACTACCCCACTCTTTTCAGTTAATTGTAAAAATTCAAGCCAATGGTCAGATACATACATTAATAATGCCTTATTTATTGATTATGAATAAAGTAATAATTTAGTAAGCAATAGCATTAATAACCATAGTTTTAACCAGCTAAAATATCCTTTTTCAAAAACTGTTCTACCTGAAAAAAAAAATTAAGAAATCAAGAGGCAACTTAATGAGAAACTCACATGATAATTTTGAAAAATATAATAAATTCCATTAAGAAATATAAAGGAAGGGTTTCATAAATAAAATCTCTATTTATTCCATGTGACCTACTGGGAAGTCTGCATGTTCATTTTCCTAAATTAATGCATTGGTTTACCGTAATTCAGGTGGAAACCATACCTCAATGATCTTTTTTCCCCAAAATTTATCTAGAAGAGTAGTAAAGTGTGAAAGAAAGGTGAAAATAGATGACTTTGCCATAATTTAAGATGATGCTTAAGAACTAATGGTCAAATAAAAATTGTATACTAAATTGTGCACATACAATAACCATTATGCTAAAAAAGAAAAAAAAACTTTACAGTAAAGGGGAAAGAAGACTGAAAGGTGATACCTAAGAAAAGTGGATCAGAGTGGCTGCGACTTTGGGGAGGACTCACCAGAAACCAAGGCTCAAAACCAGAAGCCAGCAGTGTCAGGGACAAAGGATACATTTTGATTTTGTTTGAATTGTTAATCCTGAATTAACAATCCCTTTAGCTCACAAATATTTATTGTATTAATTCTCATACTAAAAATATGTTTTCAGGACTTTTGTGCTCCAGTTTTGTTTCAAGGCCTTCTTGCAAAGCTTTGAAAACTCATTCATGGCCTCTCCTGCCCCAAATCAAGCCACTGATGGGCCAAAATAGTAGTCATTTCCCTCTCATAGTTCAGACTCCATTGACAGCAGAATGGATCAAACCCGTATACCCGGACACTGAGACTCAGATTCACAATACCTAACAAGAAGTGAGAGTGGATACAAATGACAGGTGATAGGAAAAACATTTGGAAGCAAATGGTGAGAGCCTTGTCATGTGGCCTGGACTGAGCTATAGCCCCAAGGAAGATCAGGCTGGGGCAGAGAGGATGTGCGGGGTGGATAATGGTCAAGGCAGCTTTATGCCTGGAGAATCCGTATTACTAAGCAGGAAATTAGGCATGATCATTCATTGCTGATGAGAGGGTAAACTGGTTAAAACTCATTAGAAGGTCATTATCGATAAGTATTTAAAAGCCTTCCAATGTTCCTACTTTTTACCAAGGATTTAACTTCCTAAAAATTTAAAGATAATCTAGAAATAGGATTAAAGATGTCATCACACTACTGTATTTAATACTATCTTTTAATAACATTAAATTTACCACCATACTCACAAACCATTTTTAAAAAATAAGCTAAATATCCATGAGATGGGATTGAATGCATAGATTATGGTATGTGCATATGCTGGCATAGTCTACTGCCATTAAAAATGATGTTCTCAGAAAAACGTAAATATTGGAAAGCTGCTATTTATTGTATTATAATGTTTTAAAAATATGTATGCATACATATGAAGACATGCTTGTGTATATATCTATGCATGTGTGTGTATGTACATATATATATCTGCATGTATATGTGTTCTTCATAAACAAAACACTGAGTTACTAAATATTAGTGGTGATTATTGCTGAGCATAGAATTACAAGTTATTTGTGTTTTCTTTATGCATTTCTATGATTTTTATATTTTCTGAGTACATTGTTTTAAAAGAAAAAAGACAACCATCTTTTTTTAATGCAAAAGCATAAGCAGTGACTTCATTATTCATAAGATACAAAGTTATAAGGGGCTAGTTTTGGCCACAAGGCAGAAACCAGGTAAAAACGTGCAATAATTGTTCTGGCTTGGATCTGAGACAATGTCCTCAGAATCCATATATCCTCCATGTCTAAGATCTTACTCTGATCTCATTTTGGATTAGTAGACATCACTGGGCTTCAGAGTTAAAACGACTGGGTTTAAAATCCCAGGTTTCCCCTCTTAATAGCTTTTGACCTGGCATAAAATATTTAACCTTCCAATGCTGCAGTTATCAAACATAAAACAAAAATGACGTTTCTTATAATTAATCTTAAGAATTAAATGAAATAACATCCATGGTCTAGCACAGCACCTCAAATATTATTTTTCTTTTTCTTCCTAAAAATAGAGGAGGAGCTGAACTCAAAAGGACAGACAATATTACAGTCCAGATGAGAGATAGCAGGGGCCTACGAGCCGTTCAGGGACCTGTAGACCTCTTCCAAACTGGCCACAAATTCATAAATCTTCAAAATATAGTTGATTCTGAGGTTTCACCTGGGCACTTGGTTCCATCTCTTTTCCATCACAGGCAAAACGAGATCTTTGGCTTTTGAACAAAAAGGCCCAAATAGTTTCCAAACATAATCTGCATGTCCTTAGAACATCAGATACAATCTCGTCTGTACCAATGATTAATTAAAGAAAGGGAGTCCTGAGTGCTATATTATTCATGAAGCAGAATCCTCTTCCCTGCACTCACTTCCCACTCCCAAGCTGACGACATTCATTAAATGTAAAAATGAGTGAGTAATACCATTGTTTATGTTTGTAGGTCCCGAGATGTGGCTGTAGTTAAAGTGGCCATGAATTTTGAGCCAAATAAAGTGAATATTCAAAAGAAAAACTGCCGTATGGAAGGAAAGGAAACAGTATGCATAAATGCTACAGTGTGTTTTGATGTGAAATTAAAATCTAAAGAAGATACTATTTACGAAGCTGGTAAGCAAAATAACTATAGCAAGTACTTTTGGGTAGAGGACAATACATTTGCTCCAGCATGATGAAATCCAGTAGGATATTGTATTTTCCCCACCATGGCGAACTATGCATCACATTTGCCCCAGTGGACATGTCGAACCTTGAAAAAAAAATTCTGCTGCAAAAGAAATAGATTAGAGAACCCAGTCAATTCTGGAGAAGAAATTGCGTGTTTGCATGTAGTGGCCTCCACAATCCATCGTTTCTCTCTGGCTCTCCTACTTAGTATGAACAATCAGATGCTTAAGAAAAAATACCGATTCAGAGGTAGAGTTTAGAAACTGGGCTCCAGATGAGCCCAGCTTTTCTTCCTGTGGGTTTCCTTTCAACAATCTTCTCTCCCTTCTCCTGCCCCCTCCTGGGAAAGACTGGTATTGCAGAGAACCCGAATACTTTCCCACGCCCACATTTCTGAGATCCTTTGTGCTCCACTGAGGTGACCCTAATTTCTGAGAGTCAGTCTTGTTCTGTGTGTGTGTTGTCAGGTGCATCAGGTCAGCCTGTGCATCCTCTTCCTTCCTCTGCTCTCCACTTTCTAAGGCAGGTTTTTAATGATGTTGAAATATGCTCAACTCAAAGCTATAAAGAGAAACTTACTCTGTAACCAAATATAAGCAGAATGAGAAAAACATTAATTCTTAAAATCTGTTTTTCTTGATTAGTTCCATATGTGTATGTATATGCTCTGAAATAGCCTCCTGACTAGAATATCAATGAGGTGTAGGAATATAAAGTAATGATTTTGGTTTTTATATGTAAATTCATTTCCGTCTTATTTAATTTTTTGTAAAGTGACTAAGTGATCAAAGAAGGAATATTGTAGCCTTCATATGAAATGTAAGATTTCACTTCTTTTTCTTATTGTGGAATGCTCATTTTATGGAACTTAATGGTGGTTTGAACATAAGCTGAAATAATGTCCTTTTATATATAAATAGATTAATTATTTATAAACAGATAATGTATATTTTTGTCTCTATTGAAATGTAACATAATCAATATTCTAAGCAGGGTTCCAACATTTCTAAACTTAAAAGAATATTTTAAGTGAAAATCTAACAGATACAGTGGTAGTCTGGAAATTAGGTGATAGGCAGGTGTGCATGTGTGTATAAGAATTATAGACAATGAATATAATTAAACACTGAAAGCACAGTGAACTCAGAGAGCTGTTCTATAGAGTTCTTCAAGGTTATCTTCATGACTGCTAATATTGTTATAATAGTGTGGATATGCTGAACAATAGAATATTTTTGATTGATTGCTGAAGAGATTTTTCTATAATGCTAATTTAATAATCTGTACAACTTGAGAATCACTTCAAATAAACATTTTCATCAATTATTTTTTAAAATTTGTATAGATTTGCAGTACCGTGTCATCCTAGATTCACTAAGACAAATATCACGAAGTTTTTTCTCTGGAACTCAAGAGAGAAAGGTTCAAAGGAACATCACAGTTCGAAAATCAGAATGCACTAAGCACTCCTTCTACATGTTGGCAAGTAAATCATATATCATAGCTGCCTTATTCCAAATCAAGAATATAGTAGAGATGTCTTATTTCAAGTCAGTCAAATTCTTGTTTTATTTCAAAATGTATTTATGATGTCATAAAGGAAACTTTATCTTGTTTGGTCATTTTTTTTTTTATAAAATTACTGGTCTAATTTTCTCATTTCCAAATATTTGTAAAATTATCTCTGATCTTCCCTGTCTGTGTAATCAGAAATCCATATATTATGGAATGACAGTAAAAGACACAGTGTACAAGTTGACGAGAAACCTTATTCATGTATTTCTTTCTTTCTTTTCTTTTATTCCTTCAACTTGAAAATATTTAACTTATGTAGACCTTGTCTGTCAATTGTGGTTGATAAGTGTTTAACTGCTCTGAGGGCATACTGCTGGGCTGTATGCTTTCTGGGGTTCATGTAACTATATATCTTGCTGTTTGACTTTAGAGCGAAGGAGAAAATAATCTGATATTTTCTACCATCTGTTGGCTTTGTGCTACTTCATTTTTTTTTTTTATTTTTTATTTTAGTGGATAAGGGAGGCTTGGAAAGCAAACTATTAATCTTTAGAGATGGCTGGTAAGCCAGTGTGAATAATTTAAAATGTGTTTTGTTGGGGCACTGTGTATGTGGATAGTGTTCCCAGCAGAGGGCAGGAGTTTCCTAAACATCTTAAAATGTACATGAGCGTCATAAAAATAAAGAGCAGCATGAAGGTAATGAGAAAACACTGATTTTAGTAGCTAACATGAAAACTTAGAGACTGGATGGTAAATTTGGAGTTTTAAAGGAAACAGGCCACTGCTGACTTATTTTGTATTAATTATATATTCATAGTCTATATTTTGAAAATTGTAGTTTGGGCAGGAAGTGACAGAAAATGTTCATCTTTCTGTGCCACATTTGTTCTTTCTCAGTGATATTCATGTTGATATGCTTCAAGACACTTATCAAAATAAGCATATTCTATCAACAGCAAGATCAATCTATAATCTGATAAAATAACATTGGAGTTGTCCCTCCTGTTTAGTTCATCAGAACTGAACACTTAGGAATTAGAATGTGGATAAAATTTGAATGGTCATGAAACCAGATAGAGCATTGTGGCCAACCTGCAAAAAATCATCTGTCTATGTTTGTCCACAAATTCACCATCTAAGCTATATCTAGGTACTTGTGTTAAAAGGATGGAAATATTTTCAAATTTTCCGAAATGGTTTTTGATTTTGAAATTTGTTCTGGAGTCAGCCAGTGTGGAATTTGTATCCCAGATATTCCACATTCTGAGTGACTTTGTTTGGTAAAGTTGTTTGGTCTCTTAGTCTGTCTTTCATCTGTAAAGTAAGGATCATAATAGTTACTCATCTTAGAGGACCATTGAAATAATTTGCAATAATGTATATAGCGCTCCTAATTTTGAATATTATAAATGATCATTGATATTGGTGGCATGTTAACAATATTAATCACATTCACATTCTTTCCAAATAATTTTACATTATAAAATTCTTGGCCAGGCACGGTGGCTCACTCCTGTAATCTCAGCACTTTGGGAGGCTAAGATGGGCAGACCACCTTAGATCAGGGACCAGCCTGGCCAAAATGGCAAAACGCCATCTCTACTATAAACACAAAAATTAGCCAGGCATGGTGGCACATGCCTGTAATCTCAGCTACTTAGGAGGCTGAGACAGGAGAATCACTTGAACCCAGGAAGTGGAGGTTGCAGTGAGCCGAGATCACGTCACTGTTTTCCAGCCTAGATGACAGAGCGAAACTCTGTCTCAAAAAAAAAAAAAACTCTTATGGCTCTAGGCATATATATTATATTAATGAAATATAACTCATTTTATAGAAAGTTTGCCTTTCTGAAGTTGGGAAATGTTCCCATAAGTATTACATAGTGATATTTAGCTTGAGGTCTCAAGAGAAACTGTACTGTGATGCAAGTGGCTCAGGGGGGCATACGTTGACACAGCAAGGTACGATGCTGCCATCACTCCAGCAGAGTCCCCTGAGGAGCTGAACATGAGTCAACAGGTCATACTCTAAAGCCTCCACATTCCCCTATGCCCCTTGTTAGAATGTCAAAAGCCTGATGAGGTCATATGTCAGATTAGACGCAGAAGAATGTTCCAGTAAGCTTGACCCTTAGGGACAGAAGAAGGAGACATAACAAGGTCAAAACACGTAGTAAATATGATACCAATGATATATTTTATGTTTCACCCTCTAGGACAAGCATGACTTTCAGGACTCTGTAAGAATAACGTTGGATTTTAATCTCACTGATCCAGAAAATGGGCCTGTTCTTGATGATTCTCTACCAAACTCAGTACATGAATATGTAAGTCAGATTTCTTTTAAATACAAAATACCAACTTGTGAATATTTTAGTGTCACCACTAAACCAAGTTCTTTCCCTACTCTGCATTGGTCACTAAGAAAGAACAACCAACTGGAAGAAAGGAAAAAAAAGGCGGGCAGGTTTTATTTCTGGCCAGGAATGAAGAAGGAGTGAGCTCTTGCTCTAAAGACCTCCTTTTCCTCAAGCTGTGAGAATCTGGGGAATTTTAAGGAGTTAGATGTGGGGCAGGGAGGTATGTGTAAGCATATGCAAAGAGGACCTGCAGATGTATAGGTGCAGATCATAAACATGCTTCTTTATACAATATACATGTTCAAGAAATGGTGGCCATTTTCTTCTATGGCAGGGACTTTAGCATAATAATGACATGTTAATGATGTAAAGGTAACAAGGCGTTGCTGGTTCTGATTCGCTCCATTTTCTAAATGGCTTGATCTTCCTCTGACCATCGGCAAAGGGTCCTTAAGCTCCCAGGCCATCTGGACTTGTTTTTCAGCAAGCTTACCTACAGATAAAGAGGCTAGAAAAAAAAAAACTTTCTCAGCTGTCTACTCTTTAACAAAATAATGAACTTTTTCAGTTATCTACTGTTTAAGAAAATAATGAACTTTCTCGGCCATATCTTCAGGTCTGCCCTAGTAACATTAGGAAAAAGCTTGAAATCCATGCACCCATGTAACCCTAAGTCAATTTAAAATGTTTTTTAAAAAAAATTAGACTCTTCTAGACTTCTCCCAATCCTCCTAATTTCCTATGATTGGAGTTTAAGAAAACTAATAAATGACACTCATTTTTACCTCACTTGAATCCAGGACCAATGGAAAGAAATATCCCCTTTTTTTCTAATAAGCACTGGATGGCAGGGTATGATTTAGGTATAAAGGATGTCCTCACACTGAAGCGTGGACTTAGACTCCCATCACCAACTCGGTCATCTCCAGTGCTGGCCCATCTCTGTCCTTCATGGAGCCCACCTTGTAAAACTTGTAAAATGGAGAAGTAGAGCCGACTGTGTGCTTCCTATGGGCACACAGCTGCTCCAAGAATAGAAAAGAGAGAAAGGGACCGAGTTGCATTCACTTAGTTCCTGTTCCCAAAGTTAGAATCCATGTGCCACCCCTGAGAGTGAGTGAGGAGAGAGAAGAGGGAGGGTGTCGCTAGTGTGGCTGCACTGGAGGAGACACTGGGGACGGGAAATTCATTCTCCCCACACATCTATCTCCCACTCTCCCTTCCTTCCTACCAACAGATTGTTTTATACATACCAGGCGTTGCAGCTTTCAATCTAACACAGGAAACAGGTATTAAATAGTAATTAGAGCGTATGCCACAGAGAATTTCAGAGCTCTATAGGAATTCCCAACTAGGCTGGGAAGTCAGGAGAGCCCTCCTGAAGTTGTGCCATTTCAGTGGAGCCCTGAAGGATAGGGCAATTTCCACCCTATTTAGAGGAGTTTGGGGAGCAGAGGTGACGGTCAATGTGAAGGCCCTGAGCATGAAGGAAACTGAATGACATTCGCTAGTGTGGCTGATGTTGAAGAGCAAGAAAGGAGGTGATGTGAGGTGAGGCCGGAGGTAAAGGTGGGGGGGCCAGGTCATTCGGGCCTTGGTGCCACTGCACAAATTCTAAACCTTTGCAAGAGCAGTGCAGTGCTTTTGAAGATTTCTATTTGGTTCAGTCATGGGACAGGATGCTGCTGAGTGAAGAGTGGTTGGAGAGAAACACAGGTGAATGTGGGGGACCAATGAGAAGCTATTACTTTAGTTCAGGGAGGAAATGAGAATGCTTGGGTAAGAGGTGGTGGTGGGAATGGAGAAGCAAGAAGGATTGGAGAGATACTTAGAAAAGGAGTAGAATGGGCAGTGCTTGGTGAATTACATATGGTGGTGGCAGAGAGGCGGTCAGTAAAGAAGAATCCAGCGAAGCTCCTAGATTTGTGGCTTGACCATTTTCCACCCTCTCAGCTGAGCTTTATAACATTCCTAAGTGTTTGATTAATTTTAAGAGAAAAATCTCATAATTCTAGTTGAGTAGATTTAGGTTCTTACAGTACTTAACTTCGTATTTGGAAATGGTTCTTCCCTGGCAGACAAAAGCCAGTGCAAAACATCCATGAAAATTGTGCATTCTTAAAAGGACTAGCACAATTTACATTTGCAAGTAAATGTTTATTCTTCTCCCCTGTAAACTACAGGGATAAATATAAAATCTCTCAAGGTTTTTGCAGTAAAATTGATTCTGTTTATGAGTTGCTTAACTTACTTTGGCTGTATGCCATTTCTGTTACACGAATTGATGGGTGATTTTCAATAGTGCGAAGCTAAATTTTGAAAAATGCTTTCCTGTCACCATTTCAGATTCCCTTTGCCAAAGATTGTGGAAACAAGGGAAAATGTATCTCGGACCTCAGCCTTAATGTCACCACCACAGAAAAGGACCTGCTGATTGTCCGGTCCCAGAATGATAAGTTCAACATTAGCATCACAGTGAAAAATACAAAGGACAGTGCCTATAACACCAGGACAATAGTGCATTATTCTCCAAATCTGGTGTTTTCAGGAATTGAGGTAAACTTTTAGTTTTTCATTTATTTATTCCCTTAACAGTCATTTACTGAGTCTATTTTTCATACTACTGAGATAATTGCTTTTATTAGATTGATTTTGAAAGAACAGAAGGAATTTTCTACAACACTAGTACTCACCAATGGTGAAAGTATTAAGCTTTTAAAAGTTTCGTTTTATTTATTCAAATATGTATGTCTTTTCTTCAATTCTGTATGAGGAAAGAATAGCTCATGTATAAAAATTGTATGTTTCACAAAATACTTAAAACACTGAAATTGAGAAGGAGTCAAGGAAAACAATAACAATCATAGCCAAAACAGTTTAACAGAGGTACAGAGAGATTTATATTAAATAACTGTCTTATTGATTCATAAGTTTCTTTTATGTTGGCAATAAAATATATTAATCTGCATAAGATGCTATATCAGAGGTAATCAGCATTTCCAAGTTTGAACTTTGCTTTTAATTCTGATCTCCAAATGAATCCCACTGAGTTAAAATTTTGTGTATATTTATATTAATTAATACTAAATACAATTTATATCAAAAGCAATGCACTTAATATTATACATAGTATTAAAACACTATTGTCTAGTTTCTGTAAACTCAGACTTCGTGGCCATTTCTCTTTATCTGTTAGGGTATCATTTAGAGGCATGATGACTCAGACAAACCTGAAAATAATGTCATATATTATAATATTTTTAATTCAATTAAGAATATTAATTATGAATACAAATGTGCAAAGTAATGTTGGGGAAAATATTATCACTAAATATTTCTCTGGAAAGGATACTTAAAAAGTATTGCCTATCTTTTCCTCAGCTGACTTGATGGCCTTGGCAGAGAGGCACAGCTAAAAATCTAACAGTGTATCTCCTCTGTGTATATTAACAATGACAACAGTAATAATGATGGCAGCCTTTTCTTGAGTTATGTTAAATACCAGGCACTGTTCTAATGATTTAACTTATTTAATTTTCATTAATTCTTTCATAAGTAGGTATGACTGTACTGCAGAGATGTGAAGATAAAACTGTTTTATTGTTTTAACAATCTCGTAGTTGCATTTTACAATTGACAACATGTTAATTACCTGGCAGCATAATTTTTCCTTCTTATAGTTATGTAAAAATAATGGCTTATCTCACGTTCAATGGCACTTTAAGTTGGACAGAATAGAGTATACGACTAACCCACTTGATAGAAAATCAATCCCAGAGAGGTGAGGAATCTTAACAAGGATAAAGTTAATAGTGGTACTGTCAGGGTTTAAATTCTGGTGGTCACAGGTCAGAACCTGTGCTCTTATCCACTGCACTAAACTCCAGTGACTAACATTCACTGAAAGCTGCTCTGTGCCGGTCCGGGATGTGCGGATTATTTTATCCAGCCACGGCAATCACCCTGTGAGGGAGCTGCTTCCATTTTACAACTTCCATTTTACAACTGAAGATTCAAGCAGGATCGTGAGATATGCTTTGTCTTTCAGGCATCCTCAAGTGATTTTTTTAGATTTCCATGAGCTGGGGAACAGGTGGTCCCAGAATTCTGTGCCTCTGCCAGCTAAATCAAGACAAAAATATTGGCAAGGCAGTCACCAAGTCACAGCTGGGAAAATTCTGAAAGAACACGTTTCAGTATTTCACCTGCTTGTCCAATCTGATTCTATTTACTTTCTCTTCCTAGGCTATCCAAAAAGACAGTTGTGAATCCAATCATAATATCACATGTAAAGTTGGATATCCCTTCCTCAGAAGAGGAGAGATGGTGAGCAGATTATACAAAACACATGTGGAAATTGAATATGAAAAGTAATATGCACAAAGACAAACATATAAATCCTTCCCACAGTAGTTTAGGTTAATACATATGAAAAATGTTGAGTTCAAAATTGTGACAGATTAGAATATGCTATGGTGAGAATGGTTGTGCCCCATCAAAATTCGTACATTAATACTTAATCCCCAACGTGATAGTAGTAAAAGATGAGGCCACTGGGAGGTCGTTAGGTCCAGAGGGTAGAGCCCTCATGAGGGATTAGCACCCTCATAAGAGAGGCATGAGGGAGACTGTTCATCCCGTTTACCATGTGAGAACACATAGCAGTTTCCATCTGTGAGAACTGGTCGTTAGGTCCAGAGGGTAGAGCCCTCATGAGGGATTAGCACCCTCATAAGAGAGGCGTGAGGGAGACCGTTCATCCTGTTTACCATGTGAGAACACATAGCAGTTTCCATCTATGAGAACTGGGTGTTTCCAGATGCTGAATCTATTGGTGCCTTGATCATGGACTTCCCAACCGTCAGAACTGTGAGCCAAGTATTTCTGTTATTTATAAATTGCCTGGTATAAGGTATTTTGTTATAACAGCCAAAATAGACTAACACAGAGTCAGAAAACAATTCTTATACAGGCAAACTCAACAGCAAGACAAGATTTAAAATTTATACTATGTAACATATCTAATTTATGCTAGATAACATATCTGATAAAATGGAGCTGGGACATTCTGTTATTGGAGTCTCCTAGGTAGTAGGCATCTCTGGCCTTCAAGAAAAAGAATGCTTCAAATAGATTGGCTTAGAACTTAATTCAGAAATTCTCCTTCCATCTCTCTTTTTAAAAAACAATTGCCTTATTGAGCCATAATTCACATAGCATAGAGTTCACTCATTTAAAGTGTGCATTTCAATGGGTTTTAGTACATTCACCAAATTATAAACTGTACAGTCATTACAACTGATTTTAGAACATTTGCACACACCACAAAGAAACCACATAGCATTGGCAGTCACTCTGTTTTTCCTCAACAGCCTTTTTCCCAGCCCCAGGCAACCACTAATCTACTTTCTTTTTCCGTGGATTTGCCTGTTCCAGACACTTCATATGAGTGGAAGCATACGTACAGTCATCCCTCGGTATCTGTGGGCGATTGCTTCCAAGACCCTCTTTGGATAAAATAGCATTTAACCTATGCACATCCTCCCATATATGTTGCATCAGTTCTAGATTACATATAATAATACAATGTAAACACTATGTAAATAGTAGTTATACCATATTGGGTTTTTATTTAAATTTTTATTGTTGCATTGTTACTTTTTTTTAACATTATCAACTCACAGTTGGTTAAAGCTAGAATGCATGGATTCAGAGGGCTGATTGTATGGAATTTGGGTACAAGCTTCTTTCATCAAGCATAATTTTTTCCAGGTTTATCTATGATGTAGCATGTATGAATACTTCGATTCCTTTTTATTACCAAGTAATATTCCAGTATGAAGATATATTACATTTTATTTATCCATGCATTAGTTGATGGGTATTTAGATTGTCTCTACTTTTTGGATACTATAAAAAAATACTACTATAAATATCTGTGTACAAATTTTGGTGTAGACACATGTTTTCCGAACTTTTGTCTACTACAGTTCAAGCCCACCCAGTCGAGCTTCTACTAGAATGGTAATTATCATTTCAAAGCAACAAGAAACCTGCAGAGGCTACAGATTTTTAGAACTATTTGTTTCTTTGCAATTATAAATCAAAATATATATGGATAAAGAAAACTCTAAACATAATATAATGCAAATCTCTTAAACTTTGAATTCTTGTCATCCTTTCTGTGAATAACAGCTAAATCAATAAAAGAGCTTTCAGTATCAGACCTTCTTCTGTTTAGCACTTAATCACAAAAAATAAAATTTTAGGTAGTTTCTGTTAATTGTGCATTTTATATTATAATTTTGCTGTCCCAAATTCCAAAATACCTTGGCACAAAATGAGATTAGTTTTGAGAAGGAGAAACATAATACTTAACAAACATTATTATAAGACTACTTGCAGTAGTACTGTGGGTGAGATATGTCTTTGAACAAATAATGTAGTTTTCGGTCTGCCTGCTGATGTTTTTACACAGAGTCGTGGATTACACAGTTCATATGCTTAGGCATGGTGTTTCAAAGGCAGTGTCAGTATAACAAAATACATACCAGTTTTTCTTAAGTATTACTTTCAGTATGAAGACCTATATAAACATAATTTTCTGCATTTTCTTCCTAAGAATTTACTCTAAATAGCCAAGCCTTTCAGTTTCTTTTATTTTCTTGTTATTGTGCCTTTAAGGTCCAAAACTTTTTTATACTATCAAATTAATGGAACCAAGTATGTTTTCCTGTAATTCTGTAATGAATTATGAATAGATGATTGCCTGTCTTGAAGTTTTTGCATTTAAGAAGATTTAATTATGATCATTTCCCAATTATATAGTTTATTATTGTACTCTGGTAAACCATGGTAATAAAGTAAATAAGAGTGCCTTTATGGTGGAGGTTTATAGTTAGTATAAATAATTTTTGTTGATATAATTTGAATAAAATATTAAAATTTAAAATATCTGCCAAGAAATTACAACAAATTTAGTTTCCAGGTATTAATTGACTTTTATTTGCAGTTCTAGAATCAGGCAACACCTTATTCTGTAAAATAAAATGAGTGATGGATGAGCTGAGCAGAGAAGTTGGCTTTATAGAGAGAAAAGTGCTGAAGAAAGGAGAAATGGAGAACAAAAGTGGATTGTTCATTTCAAAGTTATTTTCCTTGTAAAGGTTGAAGCAGAGGGAATTTTCTTATGCTGTCTAAAATGGGCTTGACTGGGGATTTGGTGATTATTTATCACTCTCTTCATCTCTCAAAAACTCAGATACATGACTTAATTTCAGCTTTGTAGTGTGGAACTTAAGCACGATTCAGTCTGTTGGGCCTAGATCAGGAGCTCAGTCCAAACCAGTGACCTCTTATACATTTTATTTTACACGTGTCTTAGTCTATTCTGGCTGCTATGAGTCAATACCGTAAACAGAGAAGCTTATAAATTTATTTCTCACAGTCTGGAAGCTGGGAAGTCCAAGAGCAATGCACTGCTAGATTCAGCGTCTGGTGAGAGCCCATTTCATGCTTCCTCAAAGTCATCTTTTCAATGCATCCTCAGATAGCAAAATCATGGAGGCAGCGTTCTGAGGCCCCTGTTACAGGATACTAATCCCACTCATGAGGGCTCTGCCCTTTTGAGCTCATCACCTGCCCAAATGGCCCCATCTCCTAATATCATCACATTGGTGTTTACGTTTCAACATATGAATTTTGAGGGAAACATTCAGGTCATAGTATGTAATGGTACATATTCACATTGAAAAGTATGTATATATTATATATTATTCCAACTATTTTTGAGATACAATAAGGTTTTATTTTGTAATATAATGTTTTTCAACTTCATAATTTGAGTTTTGTTGATGTCATTTATGGAAATAGAATATTTTAATCAAAGTAAAAAATTACTTATCTGTTACTAAAGACATATTTTTATTTTATAGGTAACTTTCAAAATATTGTTTCAGTTTAACACATCCTTTCTCATGGAAAATGTGACCATTCATTTAAGTGCAACAAGGTTGGTTTATATGTGTATACATGTATGTATATAAATGTATATCACTTCTTCTGTGTATTTTGAATGTTTTGCTCTGTAAACTCACGGTTCCTTCCAGGTTGTATGAGATCAGTAGAAGTGGAAGGCAACTAACCACTTTGCTTCACAAAAACACTCTTATGAATAATTAGCTAAATAAATTTTTATTTAATAGAAATAATTCACCTAAGCTAAATCAATGGTTCTATGAGTTATAGAAGTTACCATAATCACACATCATTTATATCTGCCAAATTGCATTTAAATTCATAAAAATGTTACTGGCTCTGCTAATTTACAAACTTTCACTGGCTGCCCATCAAGGTCAAATGAATCATTAGATGGACTTAAAATCTGATGATATCCTTTTGTAGTTTAGTATACTTTATTCAAATCAGTCAGAGCTTCTGAAAGGTATCATAGAACACACAAACTAATAACAGCAAAGGGCCTGTAAGGAAGTGAAATAGTGGTCCGACTTTCTTCTAATTGTAATTATCCACTGATCTGTCTCCAGGGAGATGGTCTCTTTTACTGCTTTATTCACAGTGACTAGCACTGTGTCTGCCATATTATAATCACTAAATAGATATAGAGCAAATAAATAAATTAGGGAAATGAACCAATGGATTAATTTAAGCCAACTCAACGAATACTTATTTGACATCTATTATGGGCAAAATAGTTAATTAGTCACTGTAAGAAATATTAAAATTACTAAGGGCACGAAACTCCTCATAGGGTAAGTATTACAGTAGGGGGTTGAGAATAGTATAAGATTATTATAACCTGGGATAGAATAAAAACAATCTATTATAGAGATATAAAGCTGTGTCAGAAAATTAATAGAAGCTGAAATGATATATACTTGGCAATGGGAACCCCAGAAAGCTTTATCAAGGAAATTATAAGCTGAAATATAAAGAATACATAAAGTAGCAATGAAAATGAACAGGGAGTGTGCATTCTAGCATATTATGCTAGGTACTGAATGCCAGTCAAGCTATTATTTCTTAACTGAACAGATCATGAGGGTACAGTAAAGTTTTTGAGAGATAAAATCATCTGTACAGAGCTGCTGCTTAGGAAGATTAACTTAGGAAGGCTGCAATGTGGAATGAATGAGAGAAAAGGGGAGCATTCGTGCTAAGAGCTGAGTCACACAAATACCCAATGCTCTCTCTGTCCTTCTGCTTATGAGCCACTTTCTACATTTGGAAATAAGCAGGACCATTAAAAAGTACTCTTATGACCATTCTGTGAGACAGTTTGCTAGGTGCTTGGTCAGTTGGTGGAGGCGTGTGTGTGATAGCAATGAACGCTAACACCTACTGAATATTTCCTATGTCCTAGGCACAATCTTAAGCACTTTATACTTATTACTCAATTAATAATTATTTGTTATCCACATTTTATAGATGAAGAAACAAAGGGAAAGACAGATAAGTAGTTTTACCAAAGTGTATCAGTGTCCAAGAACAATCCCATTCTTTGGACCCAGATCCAGTGTTCATTACTCATTATATCATTTGTACATGCTTTCTAATACAAGGAAGTAGGAGATGTATGTGTATATGTGTGTATACACATATATACATGTGTTTGCATAATATATAATTAAAATGATAACCAAAATCAAGAGAGTAAGTAAATGCTTAACAAATAATATGATCACGTACTTAGTATGGAAAGATTCTTAAAGAAGAAAACAAGATTTTAGATTTACTCTCAGCTGTGTGACCCTGATCATTTATCTTTGCTAAATCCTCATCTGTGATAAATGAGAACACCTGGGTAGATATGTGTTAAAAACACAAATTTCTGGGTCCCAACTTGGAACCTCTAAATCCACATTTCTAAGGGAAGCTCAGTAATCTTTGTATTTTAACAATTAAACCCAGGGATTCTTATCATTATTGGCATAGAATTTTGAGAAATATAAATCAGTGTGATTTTCAACTCTAGTTGCACATCAGAATCAACTTGGGAACTTCTAACCATACCCATCATCTCTGATCTCCTTCTTCATTCCAATTTAAAAAATAATAAGAAATTCTTCTCTTCTGTGCTTTTATTTAGTTGCCAGAATAAGATACTTTTTCAAACACTTAGAAATGTCTCTAAATAGTCAATATTTTAATGGTTTGTCTGAATGTGCTGTGTATTTTCTAGTGACAGTGAAGAACCTCCTGAAACCCTTTCTGATAATGTAGTAAACATTTCTATCCCGGTAAAATATGAAGTTGGACTACAGTTTTACAGGTAGGCGAAAACTGCATTTTTATGTTGATGCCTTTCTATTAACCCAGTGGTTCTCAAAGTGTGTTTGAGAACTAAATAACCCAAAATGTTAGGTGTTAGTGATACTGGATTGCATTCACTTTCCTTTCTTAAACTCCTGAATGCAAGTTGAAGACCCAGAAGTCCTTCACAAAACACAATATTTTCTTAGAGGCCACCAACATATTTCTTGGTCACCACTCTCAACCTGTGGAATTCAATCAGTCATCTCAATCTGGACACACAAGATTAAAACATTTCTCATTGATAAGAGCTTTTTATTTCTTCCACCATTCATAAACCATTTTTATCTTAAGAACCTCTTATCTATCCAAACACAAATCATGTTGACAAACTTTCTCTCTATAATTTCTTTTGCTTAAGTAGAACTCCAAGCTTTTGTTAAATAAACATGTGTAATGTATATAAAAAATATAAGAATCTGTGGCAAGTTGGTTTATTCTGAAAGTCTTATCAATTTAGTAATGTTTTAATAATAGTGACTAACATTTATTGAACCTTTGTGTTCTGTCTTATCTGATCCTTATGATAACTCTATTGTTCAAATACAACTATCTCCATTTTCCAATTGAAGAAATTGAGGTTCAAAGAGGCTAATTTACAGGTAGGAGGTTACATGTTACAGGTTATATGTTCAGGAAGTGTTAATTTAAATCATTTCACATGTTCTCTTTTTCTTTTAATTTAAAAAATGTTTTAAATTGACACAAAATAATTGTACATATTTATGAAGTGCTTGGAGATGTGATGCATATAATATGTAGCAATTAAACAGGGTAATTAGCATATCTGTCATCTCAAACATTTATCTTTTCTTTGTATTGGGAACATACAATATCTTCCTTCTGGCTTACTAATTTATTCTCTATGGCACTTTCTCTTTACTAATGACAGACTACAAAAATGGCATGATTATAGGTATGCATGAAGATTTTGCTAATATTTCTTAGCCTTTAAATTCTGTCAGTTATTTTCTATTTTTCTGCATCCACTTCTATTGGTGCACTGACATTTCCCCCAAGAGTTTTCCATTTATTTAAAGTCAAATTTTGGCAAACGTTTATCAATATTTTTTGTCTTCCCTTGACTGAAGTGCTACTTAAAAACAGGCTATTTTACTCTACCAAGTTCATTCAAAGAACATGACGAAGCTGTATAGAGAAGTTTGAACTTTTAAGTTTAGCAACAAATATGAGACCTTAAATTGTGAAATAGGAAAAATTTTAAATCTCTGTAGAATTCAGCACTGCTAAAAATTACATTTTAGCTTTATTATTCACTAGATATAAATGGTATTAGTGAATTTATGGAAAATTTTCACTTGTTAACAATGAAATTTCAACTTTTGAAATTCATATTTTAGCATCTTGGGGTCAAATAAGCATCAGTGACTATTGAACTAAATTATGTAATCCTTCTCATTCTTCTCAAAGATTTAATTTTAGGTTTGAAAGTAAATGAACACCTCTTTGATTTGAAGTCCCTACAAGTGTTTTTGTGGAATTACATGAATGGAGAAAGAAAAGAATGAGGCCAAATAAAAGCTAAACTTTGTCGTGTTTTATTTTTCTTCTAATTAATTCTTTTAAGCTCTGCCAGTGAATACCACATTTCAATTGCTGCCAATGAGACAGTCCCTGAAGTTATTAATTCTACTGAGGACATTGGAAATGAAATTAATATCTTCTACTTGGTAAGAGATCACCTCTAAAATAGTATTCTAAAGGAGCTATTTGTAAATTTATAAATTAAATAATTAACAGATGCATAAAAATATGTTGCTTCAGTGTTTAATCTCTTAATTCCAGCATCTTTTTCTTTATGTTTCATAAACATAAATAAAATTATAAATTTGTAATATTTATAAATATAATTTTCAATTTATATTTTTATTTATAATTTTACTAAAGATTTAAAGGGGTGATAGTTATATTTTTAAATCAATTTAGAGATCTAAGTCTCTAATTTTCTCAAAATAAGATACCATTAGAATGACTTACTAGAAAAAATATAAACTTTGAAACCAGATAGATGCTACATATAAACCTGTAGGCTTTACTTACATTATTTTTTCAGTAAATAATAATAATAATAATAATTCAGTAAATAATAATGACTGAGAAAAGCACCTTTTCATTAATTATGACTATTTAGGAAATTTGTTATCACATTGTCTTGATAATTTTTTTATTAAACAAATATATATCACATTCCCCTCATTGTTACCCTTCACAGCATTGGACTGTAAATTACTCATGTTGGTACTACCACCTCCTTAGTGATGTTTCCCATTACATTTATTTTTCCTTTTAAAGCCTTCATAACAAACTCTTTCTAACCACTATAGCAAACAAGCATGGAATTTCATTTTAGGTAATGCCTAGTTACAGACACAGCCTCAACTTAAGTTAAAATTACTCAAGGAAAAAAAAGAACACAATTCAAATAATAGATTTAAATATGTATTCAAAAGTATGAAATAATGCAACATAATTATAAATGAAGATAATCTCAATCCCTTTGGAAATTGCCAACAACAAACAAGTTCTCTCCCAAAGTATAAATAAATGTATACTCCCAAGTGATTCCATTTTTTTTTAAATTTGTACTCTTTGCTAGAATTTCTATGACAAGCTATACCCTGGAAATTAGCATAAATGCCAATCACTCTACTGGATTCTAGAACAGATTTTGGAATTCAGGTTATCAGATTTCTCCAGCCCCATTCACTTTCCCTGAACTAGAAAATTAAGCAAAATAAATAAATAAATAAAATAAAGAGAGAGAGAGAGACTTTGAATGTTGTAGATATTTAGATATTATAACTTATTAGGGTCCAGCTTTGAAATAGGTACTCTCTCTTATACAAGTGTTGATATAAATTTTATTGCTAAGAATATTCCTGAGCGTAAATCTTTGTGTGTATCTCTGATTATTTTGCTGAAGTAAATTCTAGAATTGGAATAATGGAATTTTTTAAATCACCTGCTAGGTATTTTCCTTAGGAAATTTTTGGTGGTATAAACAAAGATTTCAGGAATATTCTTAACAATATTATTTATAATAAACTAAAATCTGGGCACAATCTAAACACTTAACACAATAAAATTACTTAAATGAATTATTATATGACTTTGTGTAATATCTTAGAAGGAACATTTTGGAGTAAGAAACCATACTACCGCTATTTACTAGCTCTGTAATCTTGGAAGTTCTTAATTCTTATTCTAACCTTCTTACCTCATAGATAAGACAAAGATAATAGGAGGATCTAGCACCTAGAGTTGTTTACAGGGCTAAAGGCAATCATGCATATAAGAAGATTAGCACAGTGTGTGGCACATAGTCAACAATATTGATATTGTGGTTGTTGTTTAGCTATGAACTGTCATATTCTCAATAACTCTATACATTTATGGGAAAATGCCATAGAATAATACATTTTACAGACAGGATACAAAACTTTGTATTTTATTGTGATACAAATTTTATAAATGTGCATTTATGCAAATAGTAAGGACAGGTAACATATACTAAAATGTTAACAAGTATAGGAAACTTTTATTTTCTGTTTATTTTCAGTATTTTCCAATGTTTCTACAAGGAACATTTTCCAATCAGAAAAAAAAAAATAATTACAGCACACAGGATTTTTGACTGAATATCAGAAAACAGAATTTGTCTGGAAATCAAGAAGATAAGAGTTAAGAGCATGTTTAAGGGTCCAGACACGGCTGGTTAGGAACCTTCAGAATTCCTTTAATCTTCGAATTCTGGATGTATTTCATTTTTAGCAACCCAGGAAATTGCTTCAGATGTGAGGAGCTCTCAGTCTGGAAGGTTCAGTTGGGTAATCACTGGCTTTCCTTGCATCTATCTATGTAGATCAAGGAGTTCCCTACCCAGCTAAAGATGCTGCACAGGGTTCTCATAGGCTTCAGACCTGCAGATCATGCTTCAGCGGTGGGAAGGGGACCACTGCACCTGGTTGCCCCAGTTCAGTTGCACCTTCTAAGGCAAGGACCTCTGCATAGTGAGTTCAGTTTCCTGTTGAACTTTATCCTGCCCACCCTTGCCTCTGAGCTACACTCACAACTGGTAACAGAACATGATACTAAGTGGAAATTTTGGGATAGTGGATGAAAACAAATGGAGACTGAGATGAAAGTTAATCTGACTCTCATCAGACCAGATTATCAACAGTCAGTGGCATAAGAGCCCCAACTGGGGGTAGAATTATGAAGGGAAGCGGATGAGAGTCTGGTTTGCCTGGATAGTGGCAGCAGATCCCATCTAGCCAGGATTAGAGATGATTTATGGGTTTAGGGAATTATTGCAAAGTGGGTTAAGGCAACCAAAAATCTACTAAACTGTTCCATGGTCTCCCTTCTTTCCAGTTTCAAACAGACTGGTATGTTTTTTAAAAATGAGCATGGCAAGAACATAATAACAGACAAAAACTTCCAATTCTGTTTTCTATTAATCCTAGTTCTATTAGGAGAATGAGGAATGGAGGAACAATGTGATTATAGTGGATACATACATCTACCAACTATTAAGTATCCTTATTTTCTTGCTGGCATTATTCAGAGAATTATGCCAATTCTCCGTACAGTGCCATAAAGGATCTACACTCGTTTGGGGATTCAAAATATTACACAACTTATTTCATCAGCTAGAAAACGAAGTGTTACATAAGGCAGAAATAATTCTTTTAAAAGAAGAAGAAAGGATTAACTTTCAATTTTTTTCTCATAGATAAGAAAAAGTGGATATTTTCCAATGCCAGAACTTAAGCTGTCAATTTCATTCCCCAATATGACATCAAATGGTTATCCTGTGCTGTACCCAACTGGAGTGTCATCTTCTGATGTAAGTAATGTGTGCCTTGGAATTCTGTCATTACTGTTGTCTTCTCCACTTTATGTTCAAGCCTTTTGTTCTGCATGGCACTTGCAATGGTTTTACCAAAGTAACATGCAGAGATATTTAGATTAATTAAAAGCAAAAAATAATAATAGATGTATTATTCCCTAGGGCCGCTGTAACAAATTACCACAAATGGAGTGACTTAAAAAAACAGAAATTTATTCTTTCACAGTTCTGGAGTCCAGAAGTCCAAAGTCAAAGTGTTGACAGTGTTAATTCCCTCTGGAGGCTCCGAGAGAGACTCTTTTTCATGCTGTTTTCCTAGCCTCCGGTGACAGCCGGCAAGCCTTGGTGTTCCTTGGCTTGTGGCAGCATAACTTCTATTTCTGTCTCTGTCTTCACCTGGCCTTCTCTGTGTTTCTGTGTGTTCACCTTCTCTCTTTGTGTTTCTGCACACTCACCATTAGATTTAGGGTCCACCCTAAATCCAGAGTGATCTCATCTGGAGATGCTTAATGTAACTACATCTGCAAAGGCCCTATTTCCAAGTAAAGTTACATTCACTAGTTCTAGGAGAATTTAGGCAGATCTTTGGGGGTCAATCCACTAGAGTAGATTTTAGATAGTTCATTGTTGATTTATGCCTGAAATGTTTGTTTCACTTTTCCTTGGTTTTTAGTAATCAAACAACTTTATGAAGTGTCATCTTATTTGTGCCTAAACATACACAGCTGCACACAAAATAGTATAATTGCATTTACTCACGTCCCAAATAATAGCAGTTTGGCACCCCCTTGCTATTCGTAGCACTGAATGAGACTATATGATAGTTCATTATGGTTTAGTGTCTAAAACAAAAAATCACCATAAGTATTGAATTAATGTGTGCATGATTTCAGAATTTGAAAATCTGTTCATGCATTTTTAAAACTCTTCTCAGAAATCAAGAAATAGCAACAGTGCTAGTTGGCTTGTGATCACTTAAATGTTTTCCTAAGGGCAAGGAAAAAATAAGCCTCTGGAATTTCCCTCTCATTCAAAAAAGCAGGTCTGTGAAAATCCAGAAGAGAAAAAAATTGTACTTTTCATACTACTTAGAAAATTTTAATCTTATTATCTTTTATCAAGAATATACAGAGTACTGGGGAAGCAAAAGGTTTACTAGGTTAAGTCTAGAACGAACTATCTTATAAACATAGCATTTTAACATATGTTAACATCCATAGGGCTGCCTGCTTACATCGTCCTCCCATGTAGACTGAGTGTCTTATCCTTGGTGTGTAGTGAATCAAAAATATTATTGGATGAATACATAAATACAAATGAAGGTCCCTCTCTTTTCAGTTGTTTCATGAGCTGTAATATTGAACAAGTATTTTTATTGTTTTTGTTTCCTTTTTTTTTGAGATCGAGTCTCTCTCTGTTGCTCAGGCTGGAGTGCAGTGGCACAATCTTGGTTCACTGCAACCTCCACCTCCCATGTTCAAGTGATTCTTCTGCCTCAGCCTCCCTAATAGCTGGGACTACAGGAGCCCACCACTACGCCTGGCTAACTTTTGTATTTTTAGTAGAGATGGGGTTTCACCATGTTAGCCAGCCTGGTCTCGAACTCCTGACCTCAAGTGTTCCACCCACCTCAGCCTCCCAAAGTGCTGGGATTACAGGCGTGAGCCACCATGGCTGGCTGTTGTTTTTGTCTTTATCAGTGGAGTTTTAAATGTTCTCCTCTTCTGTCATGTGGAATTTAAAAGTGTATCTTTGATTAAAGTAATAAATTAATGAATATATTAATCATGCAATAGTAAGTTCTATTAGCATTCATTCTTTTCCATAACAACTTCACTAGTATCCATTACAATCATGGTAACAATCCATCTTGGGGTGGATATATATGTACGTATGGCTGGAACGTAACAGCCTTTTCCACCCAGCACACTTACAAAGATGGATCTTTAATATATGGCAATGGCTGTCATTCACAGATTCTTCACACTACTGCGCCTAGTCATCTTTTCCGCTGCTATCTGGCATTGTCTAATAAATGTAATTGTTTCATTTCTAGAATGCAAAGTGCAGACCCCATATCTCTGAGGATTCTTTCAGTATCAACTCTGGAAAGAAACTGATTACATCAACTGACCATCTTAAACAAGGAACAATTCTGGTAAATTAAGACAAGTGCTGTTTTTACCTTTTGCTTTCCAAATGAATAGATTTGATATCAATCCAGAAATAACTATCTGAAGTATTTGAATATAGTATATTTAATACAATGGCGAGAATACTGATATGTATCTCTGGGCATTTAAACAGGACTGCAGTACATGTAAATTTGCTACCATCACGTGTAATCTCATTCCTTCTGACATGAGCCAAGTGAATGTTTCGCTTATCTTGTGGAAACCAACTTTTATAAAAGTAAGTAATCACATTGTTCTATGCACTGATTGAATAACATCAATAAATATTTGTTTACCGCTTAGAATATGCAAGGCACAGTGCTGCTGTTGGAAAGAATGTGAGACTAGAAGTCTAAGAGAATGTGACGAAGCCCCAGCTCTACTTAACCAGCTGTGTGTGTCTCATCTTCCCTGTGTGTTAAGAACTAAGTTATTACCAAGGTCCCTTCCGGAGAGATATACTTTTTTCAACCTCTCTTATCCTTTTTCTTTGTACCTTAAGAGATAAATACCTTTATGGTACCAAGGCTTACTTTAATAATTTGGAACTCAGTTAATGTACAGAGAATTATAAAGTGGCAATCTTTGACCCCACCCACAAAGGAAACAGCTAACATATACCACAGACTTACTGAGTTTTATCAGACTTGTATTATATATATATAAAGACATTTTTAACCCCTTATTAAGCCAAATCTGTCTGACAATAAGCTACTTTAAAACTTTTTAATGTATTTCGTATTATTTGTTTCTCACTTAGGAAGTATTTAGTTCACCATTTAACATTGCCATTTTTGAATTTGATCATAGTAAGTTGCTATTTTTATGTCATTAACTGTTAATATTGGCAATTTCATTTTTAAAATTTCAACTTTTGTTTTAGATGCACAGGTTTGTAACAGGGGTCTATTTGCATGATATTGAGGTTTTGGGAACAGATTCCTATTGCTCAGGTAGTGGGCATGATACCCAACAGGCAGTTTGTCAATTCCCCTAAGAAGTCCACAGTGCCCGTTTTTCCCGTGTTCATATCCATGAGTACCCAATGCTTAAATCCCACTTATAAATAAGAACATGTGGTATTTGGTTTTCTGTTTGTCTGGCATTCACTTAGGATTATGGCCTCCATCTGCATTTATATTGCTGCAAAGGACATGATTTTGTTCTTTTTTATGGCTGTGCAGTGTTCCATGGTGTATATGTACCGTATTTTCTTTATCTAGCCCACTGTTGATGGGCAACTATGTTGATTCCATGTCTTTGCTGTTGTGAATAGCACTGCAATGAAGATATGATGACATGTGTCTTTTTGGTAAACAGTTTTATATATATATATATACTCAGTATATATATATATACTCAGTAATGGGATTGCTGGTTGAATGCTTGTTCTGTTTTAAGTTGTTTGAGAGATCTCCAGATTGCTTCCCACTCACTAAACTAATTTACATCCCCACCAGTAGTGTATCAGCTTTTCCTTTTCTCCACCGCCGCACCATCATCTGCCATTTTTTGACTTCTTAATAACCATTCTGATGGAGTAAAATGGTACCTCATTTTGGTTTTGCTTCGCATTTCTCTAATGATTAGTGATAATGAGCGTTCTTTCATATGTTCGTTGGCCACCTGTATGTCTTCTTTTGAGGAGTGTATATTCATGACCTTGGCTCATTATTTAATGTGTTTATTTGTTGTTTGCTTGCTGATTTCCTCAAGTTCCTTATTCTACATATTAGACCTTTGTCAGATGCATGGTTTGCAAATCTTTCTTTCATTCTGTAGGTTATCTGTTTACTCTATTGATAGTATCTTTTGCTGAGCAGAAGCTCTTTAGTTTAATTAGATCCCATTTGTCAATTTTTGTTTTTGTCTCAATTGCTTTTAGAGACTTAGCCAAAAATTATTTGCGAAGACCAATGTCAGGTAGGACATTTCCTAGGTTTTCTTACAGCATTTTTATACTTTATGATCTTGCATTTAAATCTTTACTGTATGTTGAGTTAGTTTTTGTATGTGGTAAAAGTTAGGGGTTCAGTTTCATTCTTCTGCATATGGCTAGCCAGTCATCTCAACACCATTTACTGACTAGAGATTCCTTCCATGGCTTGTTTTTGTTGACTTTCTCAAAGATCAGATGGTTGTAGGTGTGTGGCTTTATTTATAAATTCTCTATTCTGTTCCACTGGTCCATGTGGCTCTTCTGTACTAGTACCATACTGGTTTGGTTACTGTAGCCTTATGGTAGAATTCAAAGTCAGGTAGTATGATGGGTCTGGCTTGTTCTTTTTACCTGGGCTCTTTTTTTTTTTTTTTTTTTTTTTGGATCCATATGAATTTTAGAATAGTTTTTTCTAATTCTGTGAAAAATGATGTTGGCACTTTGATAGCAATAGTGTTGAATCTATACATTGCTTTAGGCAGTAAGGCCTAATGATATTAAAGTAAGGGTTTTCCTTTTATTTGTCTAATCTCTGATTTCTTGCAGCAGTTTTTGCAGGTCTTCTTTTGGAGATCTGCCACCTCCTTGATTAGCTGTATTCCTGGTATTTCAGTGTTTTTTGTAGCTTTTGTAAATTGTGTTCTTTGACTCTCAGCTTGAACATTATTGGTGTATAGAAATGCTACTAAGTTTTGTACATCTGTTTTATATTCTGAAACTTTACTAAAGTCATTTATGAATTCTAGGAGTTATTTTGGCAGAGTCTTAAGCATTTTCTAGATATAGGATCATATTACCAGTGGAAAAAGATAGCTTGACTTCTTCTATTTCTATTTGGATGTCTTTATTTCTTTACCTTGCCTTACTGCTCTGGCTAGAACTTATAGTACTAGGTTGAATAGGAGTGGTAAGAGTGGGCATCCTTTTCTTATTCCAGTTCCCAAGGGGAATGGTTCCAGCTTTTGCCCATTCAGTATGATATTGACTTAGATTTGTTATGAATGACTCACTATTTGGAGGTATGTTCCTTTAATGCCTAGTCTGTTGAAGGTTTTTATCATGAAGGGGTGTTGGATTTTATTAGAAGCTTTTTCTCCATCTATTGAGATGATCACATGGTTTGTGCATTTAATCCTGTTTATGGGGTGTATCACATTTATTGATTTTCATGCACTGAACCAGCCTTACATCCCAGGAATAAAAACTGCTTGATCAAGATGTGTTAACTTTTTTGATGTGCTGCTGAACTCAGTGTGCCAGTATTTTTTAAAAAGGTATCTCTGTTCATCAGGGATATTGGCCTGATGTTTTATTGTGTATCTGCTAGATTTTGGTATCAAGAAAATGCTGGCTTCATAGAATGAGTTTGGGAGGAACCCCTCCTCTTCAATTTTTTGAAATAGTTTTATTTGGTACCAGCTTTTCTTTGTACATCTGTTAGAATTCGGCTGTGACTCTATCTGGTTCAGGGCTGTTTTTTTTTTTTTTTACTTTTTTTGGTTGATATGTTTTTTTAATTACCGATTCAATTTCAGAACTTGTTACTGATCTGTTCAGATTTTCATGTTCTTCTGGTTTAATCTTCCTGTTTCCAGGAATTTATCTATTTTCGTTTTCCGTTTGCATGTAGATTGTTCTCCATCCCTTTACTTTGACCCTGTGGGTGTTGTTAAATGTGAGATGAGTTGAAGACAGCATACAGTTGGGCCTTGTCTTTTTACCCATCTTGCCACTCTTTGTATTTTAAGGGAGTGTTTAGCCCTTTTACATTCAGGGTTAGTATTGACATATGTATGAGATTTTGATCCTGTCATTGTGTTGTCAACTAGATGTTATATAGATTTGATTGTGTAGTTGCTTTTTGGTGTCTGTGGGCTATGTGCTTAAGTGTGTTTTTGTGATAATAGATGTCATTCTTTTGGGTCCATATTTAACACTCCCTTGAAGACCTCTCGTAAAGCTTGTCTAGTTGTAATAAATTCCCTCACCAATTGCTTGTCTGAGAAGGGTTTTATTTCTTCTTTGCTTGTGAAACTTAGTTTGGTGGGTTATAAAATTCTAGGTGGAATTTCTTTCCTTTAAGGATACTGAATATAAGTCCTAAACCTTTTCTGACTTGTAAGGTTTCTACTGAGAGGTCTGCCACTAGCTTGATGGGGTTCCCTTTGTACATGACCCAACCCTTCTTTCTAGCTGCCTTAAGTTTGTTTTTTGTTATTTGTTTGTTTGTTTTCTGAATCAACGTTTGTGAATCTGATGACTCTGTGCCTTGGGGATGGCCATCTTGTATAGTATCTAGCTAGGGTTCTCCATATTTCTTGAATTTGCATGTCAACCTCTCTAGCAATATTAGAAAAATTTTTGTGGACTATATCCTCAAATATATTTTCCAAGTTGCTTTCTTTCTTTTCTTCTCTCATAGGAATGCCAATGAGTTGTAAGTTTGCTCTTTGTAAACTATGTAAATAATATCATATTTCTTGGCACTTTTGCTCACTTTTTAAAAATTACTTTTTAAATTTTTGTCTGACTAATTTTAAAAAGCTGTTTTCAAGATTTGAGATTCTTTCCTTAGCTTGATCTGTTCTACTGTTAATATTTCCAGTTGTATGATGAAATTCTGTAGTAAATTTTTATCCCAGAAATTTAGTTTTATTCTTCCTTTTTGGGGGAGGGGGTTCTTTTCTTCTCAATGTTTTTGTAGAGACGAGGTCTCTAGGTTGCCCTGGCTGATCTTGAACTCCTGAACTACCATGCCTCGCATTTTCTTTCTTAAAATGGCTAGTTCATCTTTCAGCTCTTGGATTGTCTTACCAGATTCCTTGCATTGGGTTTCAACTTTCTCCTGAATTTTAGTGAGCTTCCTTGCCATCTCGATTCTGAATTCTATATCTGTCACTTTAGTCATTTCAGTCTGGTTCAGAACCATGGCTGGGGAACTAGTGGGCTCATTTGGAAGTAAAGGACAGTCTGGCTTTTTGAATTGCTAGAGTTATTGTGCTGATTCTTCTCTTCTTGGGAACTGATGTTCTTTAACTGTGTTGTAAGTTGAGTGTAGTCAGTTGGGTTTGTTTCCGGATGATTTCAGAGGGCCAAGGCTCTGTACTGGATCTTTATTTGTGGGTGAATTCTCACGGAAATGGTTATTAGCAAAATAATTTTTGGGTTGTAGTTTGAGCTGTCATCCAGTAGAGGGTACTTAAGAGCAATGGCCAGTAGAGAGGCTCTTAGTCTAGCCACTCTGGTATTTGCTCATCTTTGCAGGTGTGCTCTGCAGCGGGTGGGAAGAGGCCTCCTCCGATCACTGGCACTGTATCCATGTTTCTTTTTTTAGGTTTTCTGAGCCACAGGCTTCCTCAGGCAGAGGCTAAGGCAGAGAGATAGGTGACATCTTTTCCGAACCAAGCCTGTGGAGGGAAGCATGCCCTGCTCCCACCCTGGCCAGGGGCTGGCCCAGGAGTCCATGTGTTACCCGTCTCGGTGCTCTGAGATGGGGGTTCCTCCCCTGCTTGAGTGTCAGCCGCATATCTCAGCTTGGTACTCCTGGGCTGGATGTGGCATCTCTGAGTCTCCAGGACACCCCACAGCTCACAGTCAGGCTCTGGTTGCTTTGGAGGATCCAAAGGGCTCCCAGGTCACATTGAAAGTACTCAGGTGGGGCGCAGCACCCAGGCTGGGCAGCAGAGACTGTGCTGTGCACATGCTTCTGTGGGGCAGCTAGGCAGGGGCCCTAGTAGGGGCCGGCAGGCAGGAGAGGCTGCAGAACAGACATGCCCCAGTCCCATGGGGAAAGCCTGCTCTCTCCTGGCTTGTGGTCACCTAGGGCTAGAGCCTCTCTGAAGGGATGGGCACCTAAGTCTGTGCTTTGCTCACAAAAGCTCCTGGGCTCCATGCTAGCTGAAGCCCTGTCTACCTACTCTGTAGCTTAGATCCCAGAGATCTGCAGAGAGAATGAGCTGTCCTTCAGTCCACTCCTTCTCCCCTTATCCAGGAGCCTTTTGGGGCCAGGAAGTAGCCCAAGCATTCAGGTACTCTATGCAGGGTTCCCAGCTTCGCCCTCTTCAGCCTTAGTATCTGTGTTGCCCCTCCACACACTCTTGGTGTTTTCTCCCTGGAGATCAGATTTGCCCAAATTATGTTGGTCTACTTGATAATTTGGGCTCTCTCAATGGGAGTAGTGCTTCTTGGCTACATCTGGTTTGCCGTCTTGTCCTCCTAGACCATCAATTTCATTTTTAATCCTAAATAAGTACCTGGATAAACTTCATCACCAGAGTGTAGCTGTTTCATGTATTGTTACATTAAAGGTAGGCAGAATTTGATGTTTGTTTCTAATAATAAATCAATAGAAAATATTTAAAAAATTTTGTTCCATTCCATAACCAGGATCTAAGTAAGGAATTTCAGTGACAAAGGATGGAGGATGAGTGCACAGTTATTATTTGATACTGACAGTTTCATTTAAAATCTAACAAAACCAGAATTTTTAATCTTTCAGAAAAATCTTAGCTTTTATAATTGTCCTACTCAAACAGGACTAGCTCTCATTTTGATTAGCATAATGTGTTAAAAACAAATCCTGTTTGCTTTTCAGTCATATTTTTCCAGCCTAAATCTTACTATAACAGGAGAACTTCAGAGTGAAAATACATCACTGGTTTTAAGTAGCAGCAATCAAAAAAGAGAGGTAAGTGCAACAGTGAGTTTTGAAAACATTATGCATTTCACTCTGAATTTTGTGACATAATGTTTTATAATTGTTGATAGTCCCTTAAGCCATGACTGGTATTGCTCCCGGTAACTGACAGACACTATTTGCTTCAAATTATACTTCATTAGCTTCAAGTGTGATTTTAGTCTTATGCTTCCTTCTAAGAAACTGGGAAAATCATGATATTTACAATTCACATGCCATGTTTGACTTTATCACTTTTAACTATCACAGTAAATGGATGTTTTCACTTTCACTTTGATAACAAATGATGCGGTTGTAACTTTCCTCCTTAAAAGCTGACATTACAAAGTGCAGCTGACATCGAGGAGCAGCCTCAAAAAACAACTTCCTTACAAAAAGTGCCTTTATAATGTACAGGAATACATGTACTTTTTAAAAGTTTTCTTTCAAATTTCATGGAGGAATTTGAAACAAAAATGAGATGGTATTTACTAATACAAATTCGGGCTTCAGTCCTTGGTAAAAATACAAAGGTTTGAGTTTTTCAGTCTTGTCCTTTTTATAAATTAATAAGCCAAGGTGACAGAATAAGACCCCATCTCTAAAAAATAAAATAAAATAAGTACTTGTTACACATGCAGGCACTTCAGCATGATCTTCCCTCTTCTCATGGGAGACTTTAAATATCCTATGCTGATTAACAGCACCACATGAATCACAAAATTCAATTTGGAAGCTCCCTGACTTTCAGACATTCTTTTTAAATTGCTTATTTCAAATTATTCCAATGACTTCTGATAAGTATACACCTTTCAAAAAAAGTAAGATATCAATGACTTTTGATAAGTATACATCTTTCAAGAAAAAGGAAAATACATGCATATAATGTTTACTTATGTCATAAAGAGCACCTAGCATAAGCATGCAAAATTCAAAGTTGTTCCTTACACAGAATAGCCAACACTTCACTAACACCTAAAAAATTTGAGTATGGTTTATATTGGAAAAGTGCATTTGATTCCTAAATATATGTGTTAAAATTTTATAATTAGCTTTATTCCCCTAAATATTAGTTTTAAAATCCCCTGAAAATATTTATTCTACATTTATCCTAAAGGAAAATTATACCCATATTGATAAAATTACTAAAAGTGACAATTTTGTAATTGTGTGATCTGAGGAAAGTCACTGATCTTATCTAGATTCCAGTTTCCATATCTGTAAGTTCAGGGAATTGTTTTACATGTGTTTAAAATCTGCCTTGCTGGGCATAGTGGCTCATGTCTGTCATCCCAGCTACTCAGGAGACTGAGGTGGAAGGATCACCTTAGCCCAGGAGTTTCAGATCAGCCTGGGCAAAATGGTGAAACCCCAGCTGTTTTGTTTTGTCTTGTTTTATGAAATTGTCATAATGGTCTGATGCTGTGTATGTCTACATTCTTGCCAGCTCTGTGACCTACCTGGAATGATTTGAGAGGTTTTGATTAGTATCATGTATATACAAATCTCTCCCCTGTTAGCTTCTTTTTCTACCCTAATCTTCCTTCTAGGTAAAGAAATTGAGAAATTATTACTGTTAAGGGCAAATGCAGGGCTTGAACTATTATTAGACATTAATATCTACCCTGAATTAAATTTTTTCAGATACCCCAGGGATGGGACACGGAGAAGATAGGTTTCATTGAGGTGTGACTGCCACCCTGGGAGAGGTCAAGTAGTTGGAACACTAAAAGTGGTCCATTTTACAGGTTTGCTATAAATCACTTAATGCCTGATTTATAGATGTGGACCAGTGATACGTCAAATAGAAGAGACATTGTGATATAATGAAGAGCACATTGGGAGTGAATATATATACAAACATTCACTTATCCGTAGGCTTGAGATTTATGCATTTATTGTACGATAATTACACTTTCAATTTATAAACAAAAAATGAAGCACACTAGAAATAAAATAAGAGGACCTCCGCAGGTTTTTATGACAACGAACTGCAACATTCCAGCCTAAACTAATGCTGTTATGATAATATGGTAGTCTACTAATTAATCTTTAACACACATAATATTTTGGTTCTCCCTGAGTTAAACAGAAATTCACTCCTACCCTTCAGCATTGTGATTCATTGACATTTAACTCTTTATGTGTAAATTTATGAAGGATAAGATTATAAATACCTTTTGGTAGTAATAAATTTGACACAGAGATTTAAACTAGATAAAGGGCATTTTCTAATATAAACTTAATGTTTTCTCTGTATATAGTAACAAGATGAATGCACTGGTATAGAACTGTAGCCTACAAGAACTCAGTTCCAGGAGTCCTAATAGGCGTTTATTATGTTAACAATCTTGTTTAATGATTTTTAGCTTGCTATTCAAATTTCCAAAGATGGGCTACCAGGCAGAGTGCCATTATGGGTCATCCTGCTGAGTGCTTTTGCTGGATTATTGCTGTTAATGCTGCTCATTTTAGCACTGTGGAAGGTAAGCACCAACATTCGTTTGACTTTCTACTTCAATCATCAACAGCAAACTGGAGAAATAAACTATAATATATTCAGACTATGTAATATAGTATTACTGCAGCAATGAAACAAATGTTGAAATGATGACTAAGAAAAAGAAAAATTCATATTTCAAACACCACACACAACTTGACCCAATTTTATAAAGAAAAAAAAACTTATTTTGGGTTAGGCATATTCCAAAATCACAAAAGTATATTTCTAGAGTTTAGGATGATAGGGGAGTTTCATATGTCTGTAACAATTAAAATTTTACAATATGTATGTATTTCTTTTATAAACAGAGAACAATGAAAACTGTCTTTCATAGAAAAAGAAAAGAATGAATTCCTATGTCAATTTAAGGATATATAAGCAGTAGATTCATGGTTAAAATTAGCCTTGTTTTAATCACACATCTCTATGTGTCTTAAATATAATAAAATTCTTTAATGTCTAAACAGACATGGCATATTTTATATAATAAATTGTGTGCCTGAGTGGAGGATAAGGGATCAGCTGATCTAGGGGAGATCTCGAAGTTTCACAGACTCCTATTTCAAATTCTATGGTAAAAGTGAGTAACCACCATTTTGTGTTAAGTAACTCTGGATATTTATGTAGATGTTTTGCTTAGGCTGAAATAGGGATGATTTTAAAAACTCTTAGCAGCTGTATAATTTTCACATTAAGCAGAACTGAGATAACAGCTTTTAGGATAAGCTGAATAGAGAATACCGTCTCATACAAAGTTAAATTGAATGTTTTTTCGATTGAATATCAAATAGGCATTTATTCTAACATAATATCCCTCTATGTCTTATCTATTATTTTGTTAAATAGTTAAACTATGTCAAAAATATACATTGTGGCTACATAGTAAGTGTTCTATTACCTGAGCAACATAATTATTTAATCAGATAGTTTAAATAGCAAGTTTCTCTCCCACTGAAATACCAACTGTTCCTATCCTTTCTTACTCTCCTGTGGCTCATTTCTTCTTTTGAGGGGCTTACTCTCAGAGGAGACAGCGAACAAAGTCAGATGTAGGTCAGTGGCATTCAATTCAGTAAATAGAATCCATGGCATTTCTTCAGCAAAGTTCCCAACACAAAATTCTCCACTATATCCATTGTCCAGCTCTTCCTTCTACTTTATAAGGAATGTGTTCTCTCTGTAATTCCCAGCTTTGCCACACTGTGGTACCCAAGGCCTGGCTTACTGGTGTCAACATTGTACTTGAAATATAGGAAGTGATTTCTTCATTTATATGCACCTCTAATGGAGAGTGTTACTGTTGATTTTTTTTCAGCATAGTCCTCTATTCTGAGCACTGCACTTACCCGTATGGTTCTAGGACATCACGGACAAGAGAAGAGGAAAGCCAGAGCTGATATTTGGATAGGTTCTTTCTAGCCTTGTTTCTGTTTCAGACAAATAGAGATTTCAATCAACTATTTTTCAATCACTAGTCTAAAAAAGCATAAATATAAAAATAAACGCATTGTTTCTTCCAGATAATGATGTGTTGATACATTTGGACAGCTTCTTAGGTTATTATTACTGTAGGCCCCAAAGCAGGTCATTTGACAAAAACTTTGGGCTGTCTTACCCGGTAGAAATAGTTCTGCCACTTCATTGGGAGGCCCAGCAATCAGAACTGTGATTCCAACATAGAAGAAAAGAAACTAGCTCTTATTGAATGCTTACTATGTGCCGGGAACTGTTTTCAACACTTCTGCTTTAAGCATTCCCACTTAATACCCATATCAACCTTACGAGGTCTTATGAAACTCCTCTTGTAAATGAGGAACATAAAATTAAGTAAATTTCCCAAAGACACATAGGAAGATTCAGAGTAAGGATCTGAACTGTGCCAAAACCACTATTATCACTATGTGTTCTCTCTTGCTTCCATTCACTCTGGTGTCCTCGCGACAATCTTTTTGACCAAGCATTTTATCTACATTTTACACCTGAGGACATTAAAGCAAAGGGAGGTAAAGTAACTCTCCCACGATTACTAGCTAGTAAATGACTAGATTCAAGCAGTGATCTACAGAGCTCATTCTTTTTCCAGTATATACCACTGCTGCAGGCTGTAGGGCTGGGCTCTTTACTCTGAAGCACCAGGAGTTGGATTTTGTTCAAGAGGGTCATGAACTCTCTGAAACACAAAATACTGTTTTTGGTTTTAGAATGAGGGTCCCTGGTTGGATTCAGACTTTCAGTAGTTCAATTATATTAAGAAAGCTAATCCCACTTGCCCCTACTTTAAAGTTCCGTTGTAAGCTCCCTGAAGCATGAGTTCAGTTGCAGTGGACTCAGAAGGGCTACTCTTATTCCCAGACATTTTTTTTATACTAACTAGATCTGAATGAGACACCTCAGGACTATCCCTTCTTCCTTCCTCTCCTGAATCCCACCACTTTGGAGGTTCATTGGAACTCCCAAGTCTGAGTCTTTGTGTAAGAGGCAGACCAAAAATTTCTCTTAGAGCAGAGATTCAATTTCAAAAGACATGGTCTTTATATCTTTGTCTTCATCATACACATGGCAAAAATTAAAGCTTGACAAAGTGTTAGTACCTGCTCAATACACTTCATGATTGATGGGAGGAGTCTTGTAGGAGACATAGGTGTAAATGGGTAAAGAAACTTGTCCTGAAATATGGTACTACATGCTGGGTGAGATGCCCAGCCAGGCCAGCATATCCAATAGAGTGGAATGACATCAGCCCACGTGGAGCCAGGAGAGACTCAGAACATTCCTCTCTCCTAACTTGATGTCATAGTGATGCCTGAAGTTCCTCAACTGATGATTTATATATTAATCCTAAAGCTTAAGCTGAATGGTTTGTGACTCTGAGATGTTTACAGTTGGCTCACATAAAACAAGCCTGAGACATGTAGGAGAGCTGGCATTTGGGGAAGACAAACTTATTATTGTTTTCATGTGTATTTGTTCTGTTACCACCTTTCACTTGTCAACCACCAACTAGATGATGGCAAGAAAGAAGACATAAGCCCTGAATAAAAAGTTTCTAACCTAAAAGTGCACATTTTTGAGGGTTTATCCCCTCTAAGTCCTCAACTGTTTAATAATTATTTTATAAATATATAGTTTCTTGGGATAATTGGCCATAATTTCATTATTAAAAAGATATAGAGGTACCACACTTTCAAAGAATTAACTCATTGCCTTTGCTTGATCTATTATGGCCCTCTCTCAAATTTAAAAATATATACAAATTTGAAAAATCACTCATCTATGACCCTTAATTTTCTTTTTTTTAAAATAAGCATTTTAGGTTACATAATTGTAAAGATCCCTTCTGTTCCCCATACTTAGTTTTGGTATTCTATAGAACAGGAAATGATTGCAGCACTTACAACTTTTTATGATGTCCTAAATTGCAAAGCATAATGAAATACCACTCACCATTCACCACAATGTGAAATTTTTCTTATGGTCAATGACTTTAGTTTTTATTTCCAAATGATATAGTGTGTTTTCAAGAGGCTTTTCATATCAAATCTATATAAGCAGACGTCCTGATGCATTTTAAATTAATACAGACAATTCAGAAATCTCCCTAATGCCCTAGCCATGATATATACCTGTCAGATTCCCTGCCATCTCTAATGACCTCAACTTAAAGTCATCGATCATTTGATGGAAATTTCTCTGCCACATCCCTGAAAAAAAAAAGATGATGACAAAGTAGAGACAATGCTAGCTAATAGCAGTTTGTTTGTCTCCCAAAATATGTTCCCAGAAACTTTTAATTCAATGTGTATACTATATTTTACTAGAGATCATGATATATTTAACCAATGAAAATGTTATAAATGAAACAGCGGCCGGGCACGGTGGCTCACATCTGTAATCTCAGTACTTTGGGAGGCTGAGGTGGGCAGATCATAAGGTCAAGACCATTCGGGCCAACATGGTGAAACCCTACCTCTACTAAAAATACAAAAATTAGTTGGTCATGGTGGTACATGCCTGTAGTCTCAGGTACTTGGGAAGCTGAGGCAAAAGAATTACTTGAACCAGGGAGGCAGAGGTTGCAGTGAGCTGAGATTGTGCCACTGCACTTCAGCCTGGCAACAGAGCGAGATTCCATCTAAAAAAAAAAAAAAAAAAAAAAAAAAAACAGAAATTTAATAAATGTCATATTTTGACTTGAATATTAATAGGTCAATGAGAAAATATTTCTTAATTAGTTTCATGCCCAGCATTGTCAATATATTATTAAATTTAATTCTATCCAAAAGGATTAATATTCATTACCTAAATTAAAACAGGTAATGTGTTATTTTTTCTATTTTCTCAACAGATTGGATTCTTCAAAAGACCACTGAAAAAGAAAATGGAGAAATGAAATACTTTTCAAAAGAAAATAATAAGAATTATTTGACGATCTATCCTCAGGTTTGCCTCAAATATGTGACAAGAAATATATAATTCATGACATAGTTGCATAACTATGTAATCCATCAGGGAGTAATTACTTGGAAAATGACAAGTCATGCATTAACCAAAAACAATACCAAAAAGACATATTTTATAACATGATAAAAATATTTTAAATAATTACTCATTTTTGTTGAGTAAGTAAAATTACAAAGTGCTTTTTAAAAAACCTGTACAAATATGTTTGTTTACGTATTAAATCACCATCCAAAGTATTTAAAAAATACATAAAAAGATTTTTATAATTATAAAGCATTTACTTTCAAAACAATATAAATGAAGCTTTTCCCCTTGATTCCTGGTGGATATTCATGTTCAGCATGTCAGTCAGTGCTTGTAAATGCCAAGAAAGGAATTAGCTGAAAAAGATAATTTCCCCTAGTTCAAATGAGAAAATTTTCCTTTGGTAGAATCCATATGCAATATGGACTGAAAATTAAGTCACAAAGAATACAGATAGCATCTTTGTATTGGGTTTTATACCTGAAGAGTCTTTTTTTCCCCTCAAGGTGATTGGAAAGCACTGCAATTGAGCTGAAATTTTATCTAGGATAGAAAATCAGGATAGACTAATTTAAAAACAAGTATGCTGAATGGGTTAAATTAAGCTTTTACAAAACATGCTTAATTTTGATATTGAGCTTTAAATGCAAATCTCTTTTATACTGAAAAAACACTTAAAGCAGTTTTGTGTGGCATCACAGTGACTTGTCATGAAAAGCCATGAAAAGTATGGGGGATATGCTAAAATAGCTTCTGAATGAAACATGGCAGCAGAGAAAGATGCCACTGAAATGCTGAAATTATCTTTGCTGAGAAACGTTGGAATGCTAAGGGTTTCAGTATGTGACCCAAAGAAGGAGTTGTCTCAACTCCTTGGTACAGGGTTCATTCAAACCCCTAAGCTGTGAGAGTGTGTTTATTTTTAATTTTGTAAAGGGTATTTAATTTCCAATCACATTTCTTATTTTTATGAAAAGACAGCATTCCATTTCAGTATTACATTTTACCAAGAAGTCACTGCTTTTTAAATATGGTGCATCAATATTTAATTAGAATCCCAGAAATGTATTTTAAAGAATTTCAGATTTGAAAGCTCAAACCAACAGAAAGATATCACACCTTTGTATGTACTTCTTTGTTCTTGAAGTAGTCATTATGGTTCATTGGAATCTACTGTAGCACAAGCTCCTAGGTTGCTCTGTTTCTTAGGAAAACAGCAATGAATGAATGTATAGTAGCTGCATGTGTGAACTACTGCTGTAAGGTTTGCTCACATTTCTGCAACAACTCCATTTCTCCACCTGATTTACCAGCACCTGTAACGAGAACAGAACCTGTATTTATCCAGAAACTCCCGGGCTCTGCGTTGCTCACAAAGGAACAAATCCACATAGAAATTAAATGACATAATTTAATTTTTTTTTTCAAACTAATTTTCAAAGAATTAGCTGAAGACTCAGAGTCAGCCTACCTCTGGACTCTCCACATCTGCATCTAAGATCACGAAGGCCAAAGGGATGTGACTGTGGGATGCCAAAGCCATCAGTAGCTGGAAGAAAGAATCTATCTTTCTAGAGATTTGGTATCCTCTTGCTGGCCTGTCATTATTCAGAAATATGTGCTTTTGGAATTTCCTTCATTTTTGCTATCTCCAGGTTCAGAAATCATACTTTCCACTTCTTCTTTCTTTGCCCAATAAAACTCAGGGCTTCTCTTATTCAGAGTTACCATGTTGCACACCTCCAGTGCTCAGCCTGCCTAGAAGCCCTGCTCTGATCTCAGCAAGATCTTAGAAGTAAAGCTAACAGATCCATTGAAATTCATACTCTGCGTCTGCGACTGCTAGACAAAGCCCATTTACTGAACCATGAGTGTGTACTTTTAAACCAAATACATTGTTAACTGAAAGGGAAAAAATAAAAAGGAGGGCATTTTGAAGTTTTTAGAAAAGAGAGGAAGTGTTGTTGGCCAGATCAAATAGGCACTTATAAGCCTGGCACAATTTTTAACATAAGTCATTCCTAGTTATTAAGTAAAATATTTCATAAACTAGAAATCCCATTTCTCTAATATTATAACTAGTTTGTGTGTTTGTGTGTGTGTGTATGCATATGCAGACACATGTACACACATAAATTGAATACAAAATACCTCTATAACCCAAATAACAGAGTTAACAGAAAATAAACACAAAAGCTATACATGCAAGACAAGTTTGATTAATTCACTTTTCATATCATTTCATTTTTGTTAATATTTAGGTTTAACTTATAGTTCTGCAGTTATCTAAAAAACAAAGCATTTGATTAAAAAAATAAGTCAACAGATGTTTCAAAATAGCTTTGTACAAATGGTATGTTTGAAATGGCATATTTCAAAATAGCTTTGTACAAATCTTAATGAGTAAGAAATATACTAGACTCTATCATTACCTTTTAAAACATTTAATTAGAAAAACAGGTGACATTTAAGACTATTTACAAACTTATTGGCTAAATTGCCAAAAACTTTCTTTTTCTCTAACTGATGTTCTAAATAAATGATTATTGCTTCCATTGCAAACTGAACCATGTACTCAGTCTCTTTTCTGACCAAACTATGATGGTATGTTGGTAAATTATTTAACATCACACTCTCCAGGAGGGAAAAACAAAAAACAGTCTCTGATTTGTATTATTTGCCAGTTTCTATGGTCTAAATATTCTCTCTCCATTTTCAAACTACCAAAGTGACCCTAATTAGCTTGCAGAATTTCTGGAAATGTATCTGTCAGCTCTTAGCAACCAGTATGAGCTGACTTCAGCGCACCACTTAGATTACATGATAGATGATAGATAGATAAATTGATAGATAGATTGATGATAGATAAAAATCGATAGAGAACATGTTGTGTCTATATACTTATCCAATGACACACAGTATAATCATATTTTAAATTACGCCAAAAGTGCTGATTATATCAAGCCCAGTAGACATAATGCTACACAGCACCCATTCTTTAATTTTGATTTCCAAAATTATAACCTTTCTTTGATATTAATAAAATGTTATGAACTTGCAAGAGAAGGAAGGAGTTGAAAGCAGGAAAATATAAAGGGTGATCCACAGTGAAAATCAGACCTACATAGCAGCCACAAAAAAATTGTCTCATATTCCCAAGGAATCTATAGTCCTGCGAGACACATTACAAAAGGTGATACTTTGTAAATATTTTTAACTTCTATGATTCAGTTTCAACTTCATTGATCTAATGTGTCAAACTATTTTTCTCTAAGCACTAGATTCATGGGCAAATTAGTCTCTGAATGTTTTCTGTTGTAAGTGTGCTTGAAAAGCGGCTTGTAGTACAGAGTTTTTACAAAGTTTGATGCTTCTGCAACCATAATAATTTATGTATAATGCATATATACATATATATATACACACACACATACACTCACATGCAGATATTTACATCTATAGATATTCTCTTTTCCTTTTATAAAATCAAAATCTAGGCTCAATTGGAAAATGGAAATATTTGCACCAAAAGAAAAAGTGGCGGTGTCGGTGATCAGTGGAGTAAAGCTGGGGTACAGTAGAGGCTCCGGAAGCCCTGCCCATGTTCTCTCCAAGGCTACAGCTGGCACACTATGAGTGGTGGCCCCACTGGCTCCATGGAGTGTGCCTTCCCACGGTGGAATGTCTTTGTCCAACACGCTGTCATCTACTCCATGTGAATTGACTGTCTTGCACATTATTGAGAAACAGGCCCAGAGCCTGTCTCGGGTGCCAGGTGCAGTCATCGTATTGTTCAAATAAAGTGGCTTCTGACAAATCAGTTTTTGAAATAGCATCCGATGTACTCTTCATTTTTTCCAACATCTCTCAGGCCCCCTTTGCCAGTTTTCTCCCCCAGGGGAGACTTTCAAGACTACTGGAGAAAAATCTGTTAAAGCATTTGCTCAGAGTACCAGCCTCAGTAACTCAATCATTTCTACAGGATTTCAGCGTTTGCTTCTGCAGCGGTGCGATACAGGGTTCACATAGTATAATGGAGGAGGGACAGAGCAGACCATACTTCCAAGCTGGAGCATCTTTAAGACATTTACAAACTGTTACGGGACACTGTCAGCAACTGTGCCTGGGAAGCTAGCAGGATTTAGTGCTTCAATGGCCCTCCAAACACCCTGTGATCGCCAACCTCACCCATGGAAATCATCTCAAAAATGAAAAGTAGGGCCTTAAAAGTCCTCAAGTGGGTGCTGTATTTTATAACCAGTATGTACAGTTTAATTATAAACAGCAGGCTTTTAAATGCAAACAGCTTTAAGGTGGGTCCTCCGGGCTTCCAATCAGACTGCTAATTCTCAACCACTCTCACCCAGAAATTCTGAAACCACCACCAGGTGTTAATTCTGTTAACTGCAGTGAAAGGAAACCCAAGGCACATTACAAAAGGCTAGATACTGCTGTTTCTAAACGGAAGCACTGTTGTACAACAATCTTAGGTAGAATAAGAAAAATAGGGTTAAACTGTAACATTGTAATCTGATAAACAAATCAGCACCTTTGATCCTCACGTTAAAATCTAATCTTAAATTTAGAAATTCAAGTAACAGCCTTTAATCATTAACCTTAAGGAAAATGTGAAGTAGCATCTGGAGTCTCTTAAGCCCCAGCCCTGTTGTCCCCTACAACATCTGGCACCTGGGAAGTCCAGTTCCTAATTAATGGGAATGGATTCTTTTCCCATTATAAAGGGCCTAAGCTTAAACCTTGAATCCACTACTGTTCTTATGCCCCAAGATCCACACCTTACATCAGGCACCCAGGAATGCTTCTTGTTGAACTTTTACCATACCAATATATATGCAAGGACGACTCATGACTCCTAACTTTGGACTCCTTGCTTTGAGATCAGTTTTTTCCTTTCTCTACTTTACTTATAGCAAAAGCTTTCCCCAGTAGCTACTGAATTTAAAACTTTATACAAGACTTCCTAGCATTTTCCTCCTCCCACAGGCTGCAGAATTTCAGTGCCATAAGACTTGGCAGTAGGAGCTAGAGACATTTTGCAGGATCTCTCTTCCTTCTGCCTTCCGGTTGGTTTCTCTTCTCAGCTGCACACTGGGGACGTTTTGTTTTGATCTGGGGCTTCCTCAGCAAGGCCATTCTCTGCCTTGTGCCCATAGCAGGGCCTCAGGTGGTGGCATGTTGTCTTTGTTGGGGAGCAGACACTCAGAGATCCTTTAATTATCTGACACACCATGGAAATCTTGGCAATAAACTAGGGACAAGAGACATTCATAACTACGATTACATTTGGCTTTTACATATTTCAGGTCATATCTTTATGAAAAAAGACAAAGCATGGAATTGTAGGAACTCTTTTGCAATCGACTGAGATCCAATGTTTAATGGTTTTATTTCAGTTTGATCTATGCCTTTAGATTGGGGACAAATTTTTGGTGAAAATAAATCTTCCAAATGACACCACAGTGAAAGCCAGTTGTGCTCTTGAAAAATCCCTCCATTGCATTATTTGTCCTCACTGTTGTTTTTTAAGAGGTGGAGAGAGATTAGTGGGAAGCAGTGAGCCAACATAATTGTCCCTTTCCTCCACAGAGTAGCTGAGCAGAAGGAGGCCACAACACTTAGGTCTCATGCCAAGTGACAATCTTTCTGTCATGCTGCTGCAGCGTTTTGCACTTTGAGAGACAGGGAAAAACTAGGGATGAGGGAGTGGGAGATAATGAATCTATTTCTCTTTTATGACTACATCCTTACTCCTCACATCATTTTGAGTGCACTCAGACCCAGTATACCCTGCCCACAATACTAACAAATGTATTTTGAATAAGTAAATTATTGATTAAATAAGAGCAAAAGTACATTCTTATCTGTAGATTAATGAAGGCTAATTTCCTGGAATTTAACACACTTTGGGTCCAATCACTTAATGCACCTCCATCTCAGACCTTCTTCACTCTAGAGCCATTTTACATAGGAGAACTCAACATTCACTGTTTTATTTCTGATACCACCTGCTGTTACTCAAGATGCAAGAGATGCTCTGCATTCCTTATTAGGAAACATTGGCCTGTAAGGAGAATGGTAAACTGTGTATTACTACTGTGAGACTGTAAAATTGTTAATGGACAGTGTAAAGAATTGTATTCATTTTGTTAGCAAGAAAAATACTTCATACAAGAACTACTGCCCTGAAACACCCATCACTCCAATAAACTGTTCTGCCTGATCTAACATAAAGTTACATTTCAATGCTCATTTGTTATTTGCCTTGGAATAAACTCACTAAAATGAATAACTTAAGGGAATGTGCATTTCTACAAGACTTTTATTGGATAAACTCATTAGAAGAAAATATTTTGATTGCATTCAAGAACAAAGAAGTATAACCTTTGTTGACTTTAGTAATTTATTATATGCTTTCTTTAAACCCATTTTTTAAAGAAATCAGGTAACAGTCATTTAATCTGATATAATTAGAAATAGCTGAGCGAGTAAAAAATCGCATTGAATGTCCTATGTATGGCATATCCTGTACACTGATTTAAGGTCATAGCGTTGGTATTTTTGTATAATTCTATCTTATCTGGTGCATCAGCTGTGTATTTTACGTCAAGGTAAATGAGCATCCTGTCTTATATGTTAAATTAAAAAATGACTTTTTCAAAGAAGAATGTGACTGCTGTGATTTTTAAGTGCATACCTTTTTTCCAAAATTAATATGACTTCTTCTGAAGCTACAAACTTTTATTTTAGCTCTTTGTTAGGTTTTCACTTTAATGCTCTAAAAGAAAAAAAACAAAAAGCAAATTAAGTCTGTCTGTGGTGCTTCCTGTACAAGATTTCACAATGTGATTACTTTTTTGCAAACCTGAGACAAAAACCACGGATCTATAACGCCATATATCTTCTTCTAATGAGATGTTTTAATAATAAATAATCTGCAGTATAATCATAGATTGTACACATAGGTGAGACCAAAAAAAAATCAAGAAATTTAAAAAGTTATCTTCTTTATTTAATTTATAGTTTAAAGAAATAAAATTATTTAATATATTAGGGCTAGAAGAAAATACAGGAAGAAGTTTTAGTGGAAATAACTCATGGCTTCCTTATTTAAAATTTCATCTTCGAACTAGGCTGCCTGCTGAGTGAGGGGATATTTTTACAGAAGAAACAGACTGAATTATGCAGAGATTATCTGTTAAGTCATCTACCTAAGATTTAGCAGAGCATGTTTTCACTGCCCTGTCTTTTCTCTCTTACTATAAAGTAGTTATTCTCTCTCTTCACCCCTTTCCAGGAACAGAATATGGTGGAGTCACTAAGGAAGAATCTGGATATATTCACTGGAAAATAAATGATATACATCAAGATTTATTACTTGTACATCCAGAGAATAGCACAACATTTGCTTCCTTACCTTTGTTTACTTTAATTATAAAAATGTGATTCTCATTGGCAGATGTCAAGTGTAATATTCACCAAACAGAAGTGATCATCAATTAAGAAGACTGAAGATGATGTCTATTTATTCTTCATAAAAGCAATATTATTTTTATTGCTTAAAAATAGGTGAATATTAATTTTTAAATCAGGAAAACATTTATAGTAAAAGGGGGCTATATACACATGTAGGTAATTTGAAAACCACAAGAAATAATTTTAAAATAGCCATCACACCAGTACCAGAAATTACATGTTTAAAATCATAAAGAATATAGTACCCTGTACTTTTAAAAAGTATATTATATTTTTAAATTTTTATCTAGTAAAGAAAGGGTCATGGTCATCAAATACATTCCCTTGCTTTGAAGTTGACAGTAAGGAAGAAAATTACCCACTCGCCTCCTTCTCCTGTCCGAGTAACTGTTGAGAAACATTAAGTTTACCCTGCCCCTGTGGCTCCCTTGTGGAGAATACCTTTTAGTTTGTAATTAGTGGTAGGTGGCTAACAGCTGCCTACTTGGTGTATTTTTGAGTTGAGTAAATACAGAACACCTGTTTATTAGTAAGACTCACCTGTTAAGAGAAAATAAATAGCTGAATGAGAATCTCCTTGGGGCTTTCAGCCTAGAATACGGTCAGCCCCTGCAGCTCTCCCACTATTGGCTTCCCAGATAGATCCACTCTGTTGTTCATCTGGGTGTCTGCCTCTCGTTATCTTCAGCATGGCCTGGGTGGAAGTCTCCCAACCAAGCTGGTACTCAGTAAGTAACCACTATACACATACACATATGCCATACTACAATTCTTCATAGTCTGCATGCAGATAATTACTTCTTTACCTACTTCTTCAAGCATAAGTTGGGTGGGGCAAAAAGTGGAAGGGGAAAGATGGGTAAGATAATCTCACTAAGAAATAGCATATTTGATCATGTTTACTATGCAAACCAACTGGATTATTTTATTAATAATCCCAGAAAATGAAATAATTTTTGGCCAGAAACAAAAGACCTGGCCTCATTACAAGCATTAGCAAAAAGAAGACAGTAATTAAGAAACAGAGGAGCACATGAGACAAGAGCCATATAGAAAACAAACGGCAATATGGCAAATATAACTCTGGCCATATCAATAATTGCATTAAAGGTAAATGATCTAAACACTTAAATCAAAAAGAAGAGATTTTCAGACTAATGAAAGAATAAAGTTGATCTATATGCCCTCCAAAAGAGAGTGACTTTAGGTTGAAAGATGCAAGTGGGTTGAAAGAAAAATGATGTAATAAAATTACACAATGCAAATAGTAACCATAAGAGAGCTGGAGTGGCCATATTATATCAGACAAAATGAACTTCAAGATGTGTCTAGTTCCAGGCAGAGGAAGCCTGTAATCTTGTGAGGGAGATGGAGAGCCCTGGAAATCTGCTAAGCATGTAGAAATTCTAGATTTTTGCTTGGATTGACTTCGAAATCCATAGATTTTCAAGG